GGCGTCGCAACCGAATCGTGCGAATGCGACCGATTATACACTCGTACTATTATCATTATTATTATTATTATTATTATTATTATTATCATTATTATTAAATTTTTATTAATATTATCTCTCCTTGACTTAATCCATAAAGTCCATAGTTTACGACGACTATTCCAAAAATGTTACAAAATTGTCGAGAACAAAAAAAAAAAACAAAAATTGCTTAACCGATCACAGTGATTGTACGTTTAAGCCTTTTTTTTATTACCGTTTAACCCCCTCCCCTCCCCCCGCAAACCGCCTAACCGCTTTTCGGCCTCCCTCACCTTTTACACACACACAAAAAAAAACCGCGAAACTTTTTTTTTTTTTTTTATTTTTTTTATTCGCGAGATTTCCCTAGACAAAAAAAAAAAAAAAACTTTTAAAAAATAAATAACGTGCGTGTGCGTGCGTGAGTGCGTGCGTGAGTCGAAAAATCGAAAGTTAGAGAGAGATAGAGAGAGGGAGAATGTGTGTGTGTGTGTGTGTGAACATGTCGTCATTATTATTATTACTTTTTTTTTTTTTTTAATGTTGTTTTCTGTACTCCAGTCAAATTTAATCCAGCCTCGAATGACCTCGAAAGGTTTGACACGATTACAAGTTTCGGAAACGCCGTTAAAAAAAAAATTTTCCTCAATGGAATCCGCGCGTTGTGGTAATCGAACCGCTTTGAGAACATAACGGATATTCAAATATTAATTTGCGGTAGTGGCGATAATAATAATAATAATATTAAAAGAAACTTCTATCGCGTTTACGTTTTCCATCAGTAAAAAAAACAGTTCGACCTTGTGCATAGAGTAGGCTGCGATCACGCACACACGCACACTTTGATGACCATATCCTCCTCTCTCACGAATATCATCGAGGTCGTTAATACATTAAGACATTTATGATTTTTCAAAATGAAGGACAAGGCGATGTCGTTTAAACAGCCACCATAATTCGTACTGAGAAAAAGAGAGAGAGAGAGAGAGAGAGAGAGAGAGAGATGGGAAAAAGGTTAATGCTAATAATCGAAAGAAAATCTAAAAAAATTCCAGAAAAAAAAATAAAAAAAGTTTGACTCGCTGGAAAACGTTTGTATGAATTTTCTGTCGAAAGTGACGTTAAAACTCACGCACACGCACACACGCACACACGCAATTTTGACGAGTGAAAAAAATTTTTGACGAGTGTCAAAAAAATAAATTTAAAAAAAAATTCTACGAACTGGAATTTTTTTTCCAGAGAGAGAGAGAGAGAGAAAATTTTACCGGAAGCACAAAATTGGAGATATTTTTCTTTTTTTCTATTTGAATTTACTACATTTCGCTTTCGTTTTACAAAAAATAATAATGATAATAATAATGATATTTATTCGCACTGGAATGAAATACGTTAAAATTCTAGATTTTTCTATGGAATTACGTAATTTAAAAAAAAATTAATTTAATGTACAAAAACCTTCAAATAAAAAAAAAAAAAATTATTTTTACGCGCATATTCGCACAAAATAAGAAAAAAATTCACGAAACCATAAATAATCGGTATTTAAATTATATATACCTTTTATTAATTACCGTTGTATGAATTTCAGGTACGGGATTTGATCGAGTGAAGGTTTTACTAATCAATACGTATTGATTTTTAATTATAAGTTTTTTATAGAGAGTTTTAGAATCGTGTACAACAACAACAAAAAGCACATACGGAGGAAGTAAATGGAAATTAATACGTAAAAGGAAAATAATTTTTTTAGGGAGAGGGAGGAAGGGAAGGGGGGAGAGTAAGAATTCATCAACAAACGTCACGTATTACAATTTGACGATAAATTATTTTTTAAAATCTCGCAATGAAAAAAAAAAAGAGAAGAAGAAGAAGAAAAAAAATTTTTTTTTTTTTTTTAATAATAATAATAATTTTCCGATCACGTTTCGATTTTTCATTTACGTCATTTCGGTCTTTGTTTTTTTTTTTTTTTTTAAAGTTTTTCCAGCAGTCGTGACTGAATGACAAAGTGTACGTGTCACTACTACTTCTCCCTCTCCCGTTCGCTACTTCCACGACATCGGGAAAAAGAAAAATTCGCATTACGATGAAAAATCGTTTCGTGATTTTTATAAATATCGCGAAAAAAATTCTTATTTCGAGAAGCATCGATAATTATTCGAACGTGACGGAAAATAATACAAAAAACGCGAAAAATTTTAATTAGTGACGTCATTTTCAAATAAAAAATCAAAAGTGGTGTTTGGAAATTAACGACAGATAAAAAAGAAAGAAAAAAAAATTCAAATAATTACGTGTAAATATTTTTAAACGGTTTGAAAATGATTTTGTGACGTCACAGGCATTAAACCCATTCCTCGGAAAAAGGTCTTTAAAAAACCTTAAATTTTATTTTTTAAGGGAGACGAAAAACGTGACGGAAATTTCGAGAGGATTAAAATTTGTCGGGTTTTATTATTATTATTATTTTTTGTGCGTTCTATTTCGATTTGGGTCGAATTGACACCTGACATCATTATCATTATCATTATTATTATCATTTAAAACTGGAACAAAAAATATTCCAGACCTGACCGAAAAAAAAAAAAAATATTTTTTATAAAACGTTTTAGAATCCTCCGAATTTATATTTAATTAGGTTAATTAAAGGCGCCCCCATCAAAAAGGCAAATTACAAAATTCTCCGAGGCGTTGTTTGTTTTTTTGTTTGTTTAAACAAACAAACAAACAAACAAGAAAAAAAACAATTATTATTATTATTATTATTAAAAGACGAAATTTATTACACGATTAATTATTATGTTTTTCACTTCCTAAAATATATATAAAATAATTTTCCGGAGAAAATGAAACGTTTAAACCGTCGAATAAAATGTCGTCGTGTCGTTTTCCTCTCTCTCTCTCACTCTCTCTCTTTCTCTCTCTCTCTCTAGCAGACGATAAAAATAAAATTTTGAATGTTTTTTAACCGTGGCCGTAAAAAAAAAAAAAAATAATTAAAAAAATTTTAAAATGTCAACAAATTTTATTTAAAAAAAAAAAAAAATCGGAAACTGAAAAATTTTGATTTCGACGCGTAAAAAAAAAAAATTATTCCCCCCCCTTCTCTCTCTCTCTCTCTCTCTCCTTCTCTCTCTTTTATATATCGTTCCAGGTAAAAATTCCAGAAATTTTATAATATAAATTATTTCCAACGAAAAAAAAAAACCCGGAAAATTTTTTTTTGACGCATTGTTTTTTTTTTTTAATAATAGGAAAATGCGTGCTCGTGTGCGTGTACGTGCGTGCGTGTGTGCGTTTTAAAAAACAAACTGCGTAAAAATAATAATAATAATAAATGAAAATTTTTCTAAATTATTGAACGTAAACGCAACGACAACAAACGGTTAAAGGCAACACAATTAAAAATCGTTTGTTATCGTTTTATTATTTACATCTTCGGACGTGTGCGTGCGTGCGTGTAAATGTGGGGGGTGTGCGCGTTAGCGTGTTTGTATTAAAATTATCATCATCATTCGATTTAACGTATTACCCCCTCCCCCCACTTCCCCGTTAGGATTGAAATAAATTCATTTAGAAAAAGTATTTTAATAATTCAGGCACGATTGAGTGAAATGACCGACGGGGAGTGTTGGGGAGGGAGGGAGGAGGAGTAAACGGAGAGACTTTTTCTGCACGAAAGAATTCAATATATAAGATATTGCAGAATCGAATTTTTAATTTAATACAAAAACCGCAACCTTTCAAACTTTTCCTATTCGAAACAATGAACGGAAAGTCCTTGGAAAAAGGAAAAGAAGAAAAATTTCGTAAGTTTTCGAAACGGGAGACGGACGTCGGGGACAAAAACTGAACGGCGAATAGACATTTTATCATTATTAAAGACAAAAGTCGCAACAAACAAGGATTTGACAACAAACAACAACAACAACAAACATGTATTCTCTTATCAAATATCTGAGTATCGCGACGGTGAACGCAATTTTCAATCAAAATATTAGTTAATGACTCAAAGGCTCAATTTCGATCCTCGTTTTAATCCGAAATTAATTAATTTTCCACGCGTTTCGACAGGGAAAAAAAAACCAGCACGACAGGTCACGACAGGAAAATAAAAATATCGGGAAAAATCCTAACGAAAACGACATTCGTTTTTGTTTTCCGTTCGAGAAAGTAAAAGAAAAAGAAGAATTTAAAAAAAATCGAACTCACCACTTAGATAAAACTCGTATCCGTTTCGTTAAAATTTCACGTTGTCTCTTGTTAAAATTCTCGGATGTTTTTCCATTCTAATGAATCGACCTTGAAATAAAAATCAATAAAATCGATATACAAATCAATTTACTTGATTTTAAATGTTTTCATACCTTCGAGCAATTCAACAACTGCTCGTAATGACTCTTTTAAAACTATTAATAAATTTAAATTTTCAATTTTTTTTTTTTTTTTCAAATGTTTGTTGAGTTTACGAAATAATAAATAAAAATTTCGATTTGATTGATTGATTAATCGATAATCGTCGATTTCGATAATTGTTTTTTAAAAACTAACGATCCGACGGTTCGATATTGAAAACAACAAACGGAAAAAAAAATATTAAATCGATATACTTACATCGTTTTAAACGTTTGTTCCAAGCAGTAATTATCATTATCGTTTGTTTGTTTGTTTGTTCTTCGAAACTTCGGCATCATCCATTGATTCTTCCTAATGATTTTGATTTTTAACACAATTTCCGTTTTGTTATCCACGGAATCAAATGATATTAATTTGATTGTTTGTTTGTTTGTTTGTTTCAGGTTCCGTACAAATTGTTTTAATTTAAATATAAAAAAAAACGGTTTCAAACTTGCGAAACGGAGTCATTTTCTTCTTCTTTTTCAAAACATGTTAAACGAAATATCTCTGTTCGCATCGCATTGAACTTTTTTTTATTGAATTAACACTTGACCCCGTGAAAAAATAGTCGTTTTAAAATGCCACATAAATTAAAATCACAAATAATCGATAATAATGATTCGCTGGAAGAAGGGAATCGTAAAAATAATAAAAGCTACCAACAATCCGGAGTCGGTCATGGACACGTAAATTGCCACGGAGTGGAATGTCTTCAATGTAAAAACGGATTCGTTAACGATGTTTTCGTGCCGGATAACGGTGAGTATGTGTGAGTGTGTGTGTGAGTGCGCGGTGTAAACTTGTAAATAATAATAATAATTTTTTTGCAGAAGATGATGATAATGACAAGGACGAAACGAATCCTGAAAAATGTAATCCGTTTGAAAAAAACAACAGAAACATAATACAAAACATTTGTCAAATCGAATTGAGTCGAGAAAGTTTTAAAAAAAATAATAATCATAATTACATGGGAGAATCAAACGAAAAAGAATGTTTAATGGATTTCGACGAACTTCTCCCGTACGTTGGAGAATTTGGAATTTATCAAAAGCTATTATTTTTTCTCATGATACCCTTTGCTTTTTCAATTGCTTGGGTTTATTTAGGTTCAATTTTCATATTGTTAACGCCGGAAAAACATTGGTGTCACGTACCCGAGCTCGTCGATTTCAATTTAACACTGGAAGAAAGGTGAGAGAGAGAGTTAATATTAACAATCATGATGATCGGCTTTTGCCTCCCCATCCCCTCCCACCTCCCCTCCTCCTCCTCCTCCGCACCCCAAAAAAACCTAAAAAATTAATACTCACTACGAACAAGGTTTTTTTTCCCACAATATAAGATGGTTTTGCACATCGTCGAATACGTGGATTATCTCAATGAATAAATAATAATCACGTGACACGTTCGTATAAATCCCTCACCTGAAAAAAATTATATTATTATTATTATTATTATTATTAATATAATTTAAGTGGTACGAATTAAAAAAAAAAAAAAAAAAAAAAAAAAAGAAAAGAAAATTCAGGTCGATTGCATAAAAAAAAAAAAAAAAAAAAATTACGTAATTTTGACACTCGAACAGTCAATGTCAAGAGTGAAATGAAAGGAAAAACAAAAATGGCGTCCGTGAAATTAAAACTTTTGTTTTTTTTTCTGCTATGCATATGTGATGTTGTTATCAATGACCGTTGCAACGAATTAACAATCCGAATATGGAATTTGAAAAAAAATATGTTTTCTTATCACAACCACGTGGAAAATCAGATTTTTCGTATTAATAATCGAAAGCGTGTGAAAGCCGTTAATTACACGTTATCAATATTAATAATAATGATAATAATAATTGTAATAGTTAATGCGTTTGATAACTGGAAAAAAAAAAAATTAATAAATTAATAAATAAACACTTGTTAGCATTAATAAAATAATAATAATGATAATGATTATAAAAAGAAAATTAATAAAAACCGGGAAACCTTGAAATATTTAATCGATTTTTTTTCTTTTCTTAATTATTTCGAATTTTTTTAAAATTAGCACGGTCGAAATTTGTTTTAATTAATAATAATAATGATATTGTTATTTTTTTAAAACGGATTTTTTAGCGTCTCGTTCCCGGAAATGACGTAAAATAAAAACATGGACTCGAAAAATGCCTAATTTAAATAAATAATAATAAATGATCAAAAAAAAAAATTTTTTTTTTTTTGTTCGTTCGTGACCTTATTAATTTAAAATTTATTTCAACACCGCACGTGATTTTTTTTTAACGCGGCGAATAAGAAAAAAACTTGCACCTGCCTCCACGTGAGATGGTGCGTGCGTGTGTCGGCGTGCGTGCGTGCGTAAATCAATTTCAAGTTTACGTGAATTCGCATAAGAATAATATTTTCAAGGGTTTCTCTCCATCGACGTAGGAGGGGCATTTCCATCGGCGGGGGGAGGGGCATTCATTCATTTCCGGTTTTTTCTTGATACTCTGTCCCTTTTTCCCGACGTAATCATCCTCCCTCTTTCCTATCATCCTTTTTTTTTCATATTTGCAATTTTATTATAGGTTTAAAAAAAAAAAAAAAACCTTCCGCGGACGTAAGGTTTCGTCATTGCACTTGGCGTCAAACCACTCGAACACCTGAAAGCGTTATTATCATTATTATTTATTATTATTATTATTATTATTATTATTATTATTATTATTATTATTATTATTATTATTATTATTATTATTTATTATTATTATTATTATTGATAAAATCTAAACAACTTTCGGCTACCTGTTAATGTTTTAAGGTTGACAACCACCAGCCCCCTCCCCCTTTTTTTTTTAAGTCTTCAGCAACAACTTTTTTGCAGAAGTTTGTTTTCGTTAAATGTTATTTCACAAAAAATTATTAAAAAATTACCGAGTAATAATAATAATAATAATAATAATAATAATAATAATAATAATAAAACTGGAACTCGTTTATTAGTAAATATTAAGCAATGCGACGACGATGGCAATGAGTCATTTAACTAACTGTAGTAGTAGTAGTAGTAAAAAAAAAAAACTGGAATCGTTTTAATAAAATTAAACTTACGTAAATTTTTTTTTTCGTTCCAGAATGTCGTTATCCATCCCGAAAATAGGAAACGGGAGCGAATACGAAAAATGTAGAATGTACGGTGTTAATTACACGGAAGTATTAGAAGCTGGAATCAAAGAACCCGATCCGGATTGGCCGAAAATATCATGTGTTTCCGGTTGGGAATACGATTATTCCGATACTCGTTATCCTAGTATAATTACAGAAGTAATAATAATAATAATAATGAAATGAATCCTTTTGATGTTTGTTTGCTTTGTTGTTGTTTTTGTTGTTGTTGTTTTTTTTTTTTTTTTTCTAGTTAAATTGGGTTTGTGAAAATTCAGCATTGCCAAGTGCGTCGCAATCCGTTTTTTTTGTTGGTTCCATAGTCGGTGGTCTTATATTCGGTTGGGTTGCAGACCGTTATGGAAGAATTCCAGCATTGGTCGGTACAAATTTTATGGGTTTGATTGGAGGTCTCGCGACGGCTTTTGTACAAAATTTCTGGTCTTTTTGTTTTTGCCGGTTTTTGGTCGGACTCTCATTCGACAATTGCTTTACAATGATGTACATTTTAGGTATTTCCTCTTTTTCTTTCTTTTTTTTTCATTTCCTAAAACAAAATAATAATAATAATGAATTCAAACGGAGGTGTAAAATAAAAAATTATGAAAGATTATGAATGAGTCAGTCGAACGAAAAAGAATCATAACTTTTTTTTTTTTTTTTTTTTTTTACGCAAGTGCGAAAATTTTTTGGCAATATCCCATTTAGAAATTTTAACGAACGGTTTAAAAATTATGCGAATTATTTTATTTAATCGCACTCACGCACTCACGCACTCGCACGCACATAATAACCTAGAAGCTAACCTTGTAATATTTTTTTTTTTTCTTTATTAAAACGAGTTTTTCGAACCCTTTTTTTTCGGCTGGAGGAGAGGAGGGGGATAAAAAAAAATTTTCCGAAAGGTTTTGAATGTGAAAAATTTTCAAAAAACGTTTCAAAAATATGACAACAACGAAAACTCGTTAAAAAATAATAATAATAATAATAACGATGATGTCCGACAAAAAAAAAAAAAGTAACGTAGAGTTTTCAAGGCGAAAAAAAAAAAAAACTTATTATAATTTTTATTATTATTATTATCACCGTGAATTTATTTTTAAAAAGTGGAAAAAAAAGAAATAATGATAATAATAATAATAAAAGAAAATTAAACTTGTCACTGGACGCAACGTTGATTTAGGCTAATCGGTAATTAGGTCAATAACAAAATAAAATATAATTTTGTAATAATAAAACTTGTCGAATGAGTGAGTGAGAGAGAGAGAGAAACATTTGAGAGTAAAAATTGTGGGGAGAAGGAGGGGGCTGAAAAAGGTAGAGAAAGAAAAAATTCACGCATCATTTATAATCGATAATGTTCTAGAACGTTTAAAAAGAGAGATGAAACGCATTTTTACATTGAGAGAAAGAGAGAGAGAGAGAGTGATAAGAAATTTAAAACGCGTCGCACGCAATTGCGAATAATAATAATAATAATAATCGTTTGGTAAAAAGTTCACGGTCATAATAGTTTTTTTTTTTTTTTTTTTGTTCGGAAAAAGGTATCAATTTATATTTTGAAATCGATCGCGATAATAATAATTATTGATAACGATAAGGGCACTAGTGGCAGAATTGATAATTGAAATGTATCATAACGAAAACGAAAGGGGTTCATTTCCGATTCGGAACAAATTAAAGGAAATTATTATTATTATTTTCGACCTTGGATGGAAAGTCAAAAAAATTTTAAAATTTTTTTGCCGTTCGCGATTCGTAATGTTGGCAATCGTGAAAAATTAATGCGAAATTATTCAAGCGTAAAAAATGAGTTTAAGGTACTCTCGATTTTCAAGTAGATACGTTGACTTATTACATTTCCCCCCCCCCCCCTCTCTCTCTCTCTTTCTGCCATTTCGAACGGTTTGAAAATTGTTTTTTTAAATTTTCTAGTTTTAGAATATGTCGGTCCGAAATGGCGAACTTTTGTCGCAAACATGTCCATTGCGATTTTTTTCACAATTGCCACAGTCATACTACCGTGGTTGGCTTTATACGTGGCAGATTGGAGAATATTTTCAATAATAACATCATTACCTTTAATCGTAGCCTGTCTAACGCCTTGGCTGATACCGGAGAGTGCGAGGTAATTATCCATTTTATTTATTTATTTATAATTTTAGGTCATTATCATAATTGTTGTTGTTTTCATCTTGAAATGAATTACGTTGTTTTAATTGACACACGTTAAATACATTTCAGATGGCTCGTGTCTCAAGGTCAAGTCGATAAAGCTATTAACATATTGAAAAAGGTTGAAAGAGTCAATAAAACTCACGTGGATGAAAAACTTTACGAAAAATTTAAAGTGAGTACATATTTACCTACCCATCTACTGATGGAAAAAGAAGAAGACCAAAAATTTTCTTTTCTTTTGTTATTACAGGATGATTGTCAAAAGCAGAAAAAATTAGAAGAAGTTGATAAAAATTATTCTGTCCTTGATCTCTTTTCCAGTAAAAGACTTAGAAGAGTAACATTATTACTTATAATTATTTGGTGAGAAATAATATTGATGATGATCTCTCTAAAAAAAAAAAAAATAAATAAATAAATTTAAATTGATTTTGAAATTAAAAACCCAAACATACAAATTTTTTTTTTTTTTAAATGATAGGATGGCCATATCGCTTGTTTTCGATGGCCACGTGAGAAGCGTCGGAGCTTTCGGTTTAGATGTTTTTCTTACATTTACAATTGCATGTGCGACTGAATTCCCAGCGGATATGTTTATCACACTTGTTTTAGATAAATGGGGTAGACGATGGTTGGCATGTGGGTCGATGGTTCTAAGTGGAGTTTTTAGTATTTTGTCGACAACGGTTCCTTTTGGTAACAATTTAACTTTTAACATTCCCATATACAAAATAATACTAATGAATTATTATTATCATTTTGTTTTTTCTTGATTTTAAATTTAATTAATTAATTTTAAGGAGCTGCATCAGCCTCTTTGGCAATTATTGGAAGATTTGCCATTAATGTCGCTTACAATATCGGTTTACAATATGGTGCTGAAGTTTTACCAACCGTGGTTCGAGCTCAAGGGGTAGCTTTAATTCACATAATGGGCTATGTTGCTAGTATCGTGGCTCCGTTTATTGTGTACCTCGGAGAAATTAACACGTCTTTTCCACTTTTAATTCTTGGAACTCTAGGCATTATTGGTGGAATTCTCACGCTTTTGTTACCTGAAACATTAGATCAAGAATTACCTCAAACGTTGGAGGACGGTGCTAATTTTGGAAAAGATCAAAAATTTTGGGATTTCCCCTGTATAAGAGGGTTAGTCTCGACGACATACCTTACTTAATAATTAGTATTAAATACATTTCTCTCTTTTTTTGCTATTATTATTATTATTATTATTATTATTATTATTATTTCAGTCAAAGTGATTATGATGATGATGATCTCCCACCGACCGAATTGAAACGAGTGCGATCCAAAAATTTTTCAATTGGTAGAGCTTCAATAAGAGGAGAAGTTTACAGATCGTCCATGATCTTACGTAATTCTCTCAGATCTAGAAAAGACCTTACAATAACAAAAAATTAATTAACGATGACATTTTGACTGATACTTTTTCTCCTTTTGTTAAGTATAAAAAATAACACTTAAAAAAAAAAAAAAAAAGGAAATTTTGTAATTTGACTATTACATTGTAAGGGCTGTGCTATCTCTACTATTAGATTATTAAAACAATTTTGTAAAAATAATTTTAATATTGTAATAATAAATATTTGGCAAATGAATGATGAGATTTTCATTCTAATCTCATCCGGTTATAAATATTTTACTTACTTTTTTTGAAAAATCACTTAATGGATGTCATACTTGCTCGGCATCGTGAAATAAATGTAACGAATAATACAATACCAGATCAACACGTTAATAAACTATATGAAAAAATATCAACTGATTTATTACGTGTACAAAATGTTCTAGAAAAAAAAAAAAGATTCAATTCGTAATTATTCAATTATTACACATAATTAAAACAATAAATTTTTATTCTCACCATTTAGCCGCCACTAGCCGCCATAATTTCGTCTCGAATGGAATGAAAAACCGTTAATTTAAATAAATGAAGATTTCTGAACGAACATCGTTACCGGGGCCCTTTTTTTTTTCACAATGTCCAATAGTATTATTTACTGCCATTTCTATACAAATCATAAACAATGATTCATTATAACCAATGTATATAATTAAATTGGTTAAAAATAAAATAAATACTTACTTGATCGGAAAAAGGAAAAAAAAAACATGAATAATACAAATGATTTATCAAAAATAGTCCAATCTAAATTAGGTAACGGCGTAACAGTATTATTAGTATCCTTTTTTGGTTATCATACTAAACGTCAAGTGTTGTAATAGTGGTGGTAGTAGTAGTAGTAGTATTTGTACGATATCGATTTATTATTATTATTATTATTATTTGTTATCTTTATTATCTATAAAAAAAAATATTTTTTTTTTTAATCGAATAAATTAGTAAATCAGGTAATTTTAAAATCATTTGTTCTTTTCATTTGATGAGACTTGATTGATTAACTTTAAAAATCAAAATTTGTCAATTTTTTTTTCTACCTACCTTTGTTATTTTTCCTTATTAATCAAGTTCAGACTCATAATGGTAATTTAAGTGATGATACAAATTCTTATTGTGTTTTATCGTTAGTTGAAAAAAACATACAGGGATCAGCAGAACATGCATTATTTATTTTTAAATCTTCTACAAGCTCACCAGTGTCATTTTTAGATTTAACTTGTAAATATATCATTCCAGTCGATGAGAATTTTATTTGTGACTTCAGTGAGTATTTTTAGTACAACTATTCGTTTCGTTGTATAATTGAAATTCGAAATTAAAAATTTTCATTTTCGTTCAGGCACGCCTCTGAAAACTGCAAATGATGGAGTTAATCTCTTTATTCACATAACAGGAAGACATAATACAAATATAAAATGCAAAACTTCAGAATGTGAACAAACTAGTAATTTTATAAGCGAGATTTTCAGATTAATCGAAGTGTCTGCCAAAAATAAAAACAATTGTGATTTTTCTTGGATCACACCTTTTTTAACATCATATCCTCCTGAAATGGAAACCGGTCGAAGTCGAGAAGTCGATTTGGAACAATCTGTATGATATATTCATTACATAAAAATTATTATTTTGAAATTTTGTCTTCTCACATTTTATTAATATCATTTTGAATTTGTAGTTTTTAGATTCATCAGACATGGCAATACAAAGGCAAAATATTGCCAAAGGAGGACAATCATCAATATCGGCAAGAGAGCAAATAATAAAACATTACATGACCCTCAAAGCCAACGAGTACACATACACTCAAAATGTCAAGTAAATAAATTCTCACATTATTAAATTTTTATGCAATGATTAATCGATAAAATTTTTTCCCCATTAAATAATTATTTTCTTCCCCCTCCCCACAGAATATTTATAGGTACCTGGAATGTAAATGGACAACCAGCAGCAGTGAGTTTATCAGATTGGTTGACGACGACAAATCCCGAATATCCCGACGTACCTGATATTTATGCTGTCGGATTCCAAGAATTAGATTTATCCAAGGAAGCTTTTTTATTTAATGAAACTCCAAGAGAAGGAGAATGGTTGTAAGTTTGCACGCATCGTCCATGTTGTGTCACATGCTAAAAAATTATTAAAAAATATTATTATTATTAAAAGGGATCCATGTACGTTTCAGAGAAGCCGTATCGAACGCTTTACAAAATCATAAATCGGTTACTTATCATAAAATATGTCTAGTCCGTTTAGTTGGAATGATGTTGATAGTTTTTGTACAAGATAAACATATAGATCATGTTAGGAACGTGGTATCGGACACGGTGGGAACGGGAATCATGGGAAAAATGGGGAATAAAGGGGGTATAGGAGTGAGATTTGATTTTTACGCTACGTCAATGTGTTTCGTTAATTCTCATTTGGCTGCTCACGTGGAAGAATACGAGAGGAGAAATCAAGATTTTAAAGATATTACGTCACGAATGGGTTTCACAGTACAAAATTCAAGATATGCCATCAAGGATCACAAGTATGAGACATAATTACATATGTGTGTGTGTGTGTAATAAAAGAAAATTGAGTCTAATTTACGGTTCTTATTTTCCAGGCAAGTTTATTGGCTTGGAGATCTTAATTATCGCGTCACTGAATTGGATCCGACTGTCGTTAAAGAATTTTTAAGGTTTAATAATTTCCGACCCATATTAGAATACGATCAATTAAATTTACAAAAAAAATTAAAAAGAGTTTTCGATGGGTACACCGAGGGTACCATAAATTTTAGACCGACTTATAAATACGATACGGGAACTGATAATTGGGATTCGAGGTGAAAAAATAATAATTATTTATAAATCCCGTGACGTCATATTCGAATTTAAAATATTTACGTATGAATTTTGTAGCGAAAAAAATAGAGCTCCGGCTTGGTGCGATAGAATATTATGGAAAGGTGAAGGAGTTCAACAGCTCGTTTATAAAAGTCATCCTGCTTTGAAAATAAGCGATCATAAACCAGTGAGCTCTTTGTTCGATTCGAAGGTGAATTTAGGGTCGAAGGTCGAGGGGTCGAAGGGGGTGAAAATGTCGTTTGGAAATGAATCAATCATAGAAAAAATTCGCTTTCACACTTTCAGGTTCACATAATAGACGAGGGTAAACAACGTAAGACTCACGAGGAAGTCATCAAATGCCTTGATAAAATGGAAAATGAATTTTTACCGCAAGTAACCGTCGACAGTAACGAAATCATTTACGACACCGTACGTTATTTGGAACCCGTTACCAAAGAATTAATTATAGCAAATAACGGACAAGTACCCGCGCAATTTGCTTTCATTAAAAAATTAAACGAAACGTCTTTTTGCAAAGAATGGTTGAGAATCGAACCTTATCAAAGTCTCATAGCTCCAGGTTGGATTGATTGTTTTTTTTTCTTTCCCTCCCTCGAAACGCGGCGGTGGTGGTGGTGATGATGGTAGTAGTAATAATAATAATAATAATTATTATTATATATTTAACTTGAATCCAGGTCAGAAATGCGACGTGCGACTCGAAATACTCGTTGATAAAAAATCCGCTTGCAAATTGAATTCCGGGGAAGATAAATTATACGACATATTGATTCTTCATTTGGAAGGTGGCAAAGACATATTCATAACGGTCACGGGAACGTACGAAAGATCCTGTTTCGGAAGTTCGATAGAAACACTCGTGAGAATATTCGTTCCCATAAAAGAATTGACGGTTGGGAAATTGATCGAATTGGTGAGTGAATCTGTAAAAAAATAAAAAAAATGGTTGAGTTTTTAATATCAAACAAACACCCACGCACTAGAACGAAACGAATAAATTTTTTTAAAAATAAAAGTCTATGAATCAGGAAAACAACAAAGGACATACCGCCGGAGGAGGACAAGAGCCGTATGCGATTCCGAAAGAGATTTGGTTTTTGATCGATCACCTGTACAGGCACGGATTAAAACAATCCCTTTTCGTACAGCCTGGACTTCAATCGGAAATAATACAAATTCGTAATTGGTTGGATTACGGTTCGAGCGATCCCATACGTATGTTGTCACGTGATTACTACTATTATTATTATCGTCGAGCGAATTATGATGATTTTTTCTTTTTTTCCCACGTAGCCGGATCGGTTCATTCTGTTGCGGAAGCTCTTCTCCTACTGTTGGAATCCACATCGGAACCTTTGATACCGTATAACTTACACAACATTTGCATAAGTTGTTCGAATAATTACACGGAATGTAGACAGTTGATAATGCAACTTCCGGAATATAGGAAAAACGTGTTTTTGTACCTGTGCACGTTCCTACACGAATTGCTCTCTCATTCGAACGTTAACGAATTGGACACGAGATTATTAGGTATACAAAAAAAATCCCCGCGTGAAGAGAGGGGAGAGGTGGGAAGGGGGGGGGAATGCTTCGGCGGTTTAAATTTTCATTTCATTTTTTTTTTTTTTTTTTTTTTTTTTTTGTTTTTCAGCCACCGTTTTCGGTAGGATTTTTCTAAGAGATCCTCCGGGTCGTCGCTATCCTGAAACCGTCAAAGATCGAAGCGTCCAACAGGAATTGGATAAGAAAAAATCAAATTTCGTACATCATTTTCTGATAAACGATCAAAGCGATTTCATATTCACTCGTTGAATTTAATATTAAAATACTCGTATCGTATCGATATCGGTCGGAATCGATAAATCGATTCGTTCGTTGTCGTTTTTTTTTGTCCCCCTACAATTACCAAAAAAATTTTAAAAAAAGAATTCCTATAAAAATAAATAAATACATAAATATATGTATTTTTTCCGCGCATGTAAAAGTGCTTTACGCTATTCCGCGTATTCGTAATAATAATAATAATAATAAATGAAAATTTAGCCAGCCGCCTTTGTACATAGTAAAAAAAAAATAAATAAATAAAATTATGAAATGAAATTTTTAATTAAGAAAAATTGTACAAAAAAAAAAAATAATAATAATAATAATAATAAACAAAAACGGCTTAAAGCTTGCCAATCAAATGGCAAATATTAATAATAATAATAATATTTTGAATTGTTACACACGCTTTAACATTATCATCATTATTATTATTAGTTTTATAATATATATTATTTGCACGGTTTGACACTTGCACAAAATTTTATTTGATCAGTTAATATTAAATAATAAGCAATAATATAAATATTGTAATAATAATGATAATAATAATAAAAACAATTAATTAATTAATTATTTTAAATTAATTAAAGCGATAATATATATACCTAACAACGTTTTTTCTTTTTTTTTTTCTTCGTTAATCGCAAGGAGGTTAATGTTAATTAGAAAATTAAGGATAATGTAAAAATTGAAATTGTTCTCTTCCTCCTCCTTCTCCCTCCTTTCTCCTCCTTTTTTCCACAATTGTTTTGTATGAGTTTCGCATAAAGCGATGGAAAATTCGTATTGTTGGAAAAATCATTCGACCGTACCAGCAGTCAATACCATTTTAACTTGATGATTTATTTTCTGTTGACTTTTATCTTGTATTATTGTGTTTATGTACGTGTGACACATGACGAAACCGATGGAAACATCATCCCCCGTTTTTAAATCGTCCAAGGGTTGTATTGGAAATTTAATAACGGCTTGATTACCCTTTCTCCAAACGACGACCCTTAAAAGAAAAATGAGGTTTTCATTTAAACAAAAAAAGAAAAATTATTATTATTATTGTAATTTCCCCTTTTCATCCTTTTGGTATTGGGGGGGAGGGGGGGATAATTCTAACTTTTTATCATCGTTAAAATTTTGATTTTCGTTATTGTCATCGTATTCTGCTGCATCATCTCTTCCCGGTAATATGATCGGTGATTCCGGAAGGAGTGGATTCCCGGTAAATTCTATTCTTATGGGTCTAGGTTCGATTTTCATCAAGTAATCAATTTTCAATGGGATTTTTCTAGAAATATAAAATAAAACTAATCAATACACGCACGACATGCAGCATTTTTAATAGGAAAAAAAAGGGTGAAAATCATACCTGGTTTTATTTAGTTTGGCATCATCCGAGTTTTCAGATTCTCCACTTGTTGGCAATTTAACATCGGAAGGTTGCTGCTGCTGCTGCTGTTGTTCCTGCTGTTGTTTTTTAATTTCCGTATCAAACGGTAATAAATTAACAGTTATTTGATGTGGAGTCGGATTAATGAGATGTAAATATAAATCGCTTTCTTTTCCCTGTTGTAAAGGTTCACATTTTTTTATCGATATATTGGGAATATGATAACTGAAATTAAAAATTTTGAAATTGAATTCAACTGTAGAATTAGACATGTTAGAAATAAGCAAAAATTTAACTTACTAAGCAGAAAGTTGAATTTTAAATTTGATAGAACTAGGATAGAATTCTGGTTTTGTTACATTATGCTCACATTCTCTACATCTTTGAGACCTTTTCGTCAACAATAATTTCTTACATGGTTTTAAATTGACAATATTTTCACATTGTAAACCTGGTATTCCAAGTCTTTGTTCGAGCGTTGTAACTAAAAAAAAATCTCAATGTTTAATCGAGAAAATGAATTCCACAAGAAGAATTTGTAAAAATAAATTACTTTTTTTTAAATCTGGAGAAGCTGTAAATATTTCTTCTGGCAAATCTTTTATGTTCGAAACGGGAATGGATGGTTTAATTTTAGGCGGTTTTTTCGCTTCCTGTAAACTTGGTAATGAAAATTGACTCGAAGCTGAAAAACCGGCTTTTCTTCTTACCATCGCTGCTGACATGCCCTGATTACACGAAAGCATTATTAAAATAAGGAAAAAATATTATTTATGGAGTTGTTTTAAAAGACTAATAACTTACAGTCAAATGAGCATAACTCCTTCTAATCGATGGTTGTTTTTTTTCATTTATAGTTTTATCATACAACGAAACAGCCTTGTAATACTCCATTAATTCATTAAGGCGAGTCATGTGAGGATTTTCAAATTCAGGCCATGGGGATGAGGCACTTGTTTGATCAGGTATACCAACATCTCTGTGTGATATAAAAAATTATTCAAAGAATATATGAATAAATTTTTTTTAAGGAGACCCATTTTTTTATAAATACGCACCTAGAAGTCCAATGACAATTAAAACAACACAAATAATATAATTTTTTAGATTCAGACTTTTCAGATTTTTCAGACTTGTCATTTTTATCAGATTTTCCATCGTCTTTTTCCGTCGATTCGACGGGTTCTTTATTTTTAACGGTCGTGGCTCTCGTCGATAAATTTAATTGACATATAGGACAATTAATGCAAGAGGAACAACAATTTTTTTTCATCCATGCCTCTGCAACGGGTAAATTTTCCAAACATATATGACAGTATCGTGCGTCTACCTAATTTTTACAGAAAAATATATTAAGAAGAAGAAGGGGGTGGAAAAAAAGAAATTTATTTTAAACGTGAAAACTACTAACCTCATGACTAACGCAGAAACCACAACGGATAGCTGAACAATGTCGGCAGAAATATATTCTTGTGATTGATTTAAGTTCACCACAAGTGCATACATATCTCACGGGTGGTTTGTGAGAGAAAAAAGCCATTTTTAATTTTAATATCTATTTAACATTTGACAGCGAATCCAATCGTCATCTAAAAATTATATAAAAATTAACAGATTATAAAAAAAAAAAAAAAAAAAATTAAACCACGACATACGTCATTCGAACTTACCTTCCATCATCGTAATACACCTATAAAGCTCGCACAAAGCCTCCGTGATTTTAATATCGGATAAATTTTTCATAAATTTTTTCCGTTACGATTACAAATGAATCAAAACAATATTCAAACGTTAAAAAAACTCATTTGACAAATGTTTTTTTTTTCATTCGATTCGCATAATTATCGATTAAAAAATGGCGGTAATAAAATCGTGAAAAATAACGGAGGCTTTGCTTTCGCTTATCTTAAGTAAAAGAAAATCACTCAAGCAGTGACCGAAACATGCGTACTTGAAATTGTTATAATGCTTCATGCTAGTCTGATGCGGGTTTTTTTTTTTTTTCATTTTTACATTAAATAATTTTATTATTTTTATTAATTAAGTGAAAGGTGATTATTATTATTATTTATTAAAATCATTTACATAACGACATTTTTATTTCTATAAAGTTTTTTTTGTAACGATAAAATAAATATTGAAATCGGTTTTTATCGGATTATGGAACACACTAATCATATAGTAAATAAGTTTTTTTTTCTCTCTCTCTCAATCGTTAGTAATTAAAAAAAATTTTTTTTCGATGATTTTTTTTTTTAATTAATTCAAAATATAATTAATGTCACGGATAACTACTTTTAAAATTGATTTATTATTATTATTATTATTAATATTAATTTTTCGATATTTATTTACCGATCGCGATATATAATAACCGCGCGAATATAATTCGCGCGAAATTAATCCGCCTAATTGATATTAAAGAAAAAAAAAAAAATTGGCGCAATTTTATTTTTATTCTTTTTTATCACAATTATTATTATTATTATTATTATTAATTATTATATCTTATAAGTAAGAGAAAAAGAAAAAAAAACTTTTTAAACGTTCAATAATTTGTTTCTTTTCTTTTTTTTTGTAGTGTGAGTTATAAGGGTTGTGATATGAAAAGAATAGAAGAAAAAAAAAAAACTTTATGAGTTTTCAAATTTTTTTGTCGATATTAAATATTGGAATGAAATCAAACAACTCATTGTTCATCTTTTAATAAATTAATTAATTGATAAAAATGTCTGCGAGGGAAATTATTTTGGATGGTGGTTCTCCATGGGGATTTAGAATACATGGAGGTTGTGATCTCGGAATGCCAATTAAAATATCAAGGGTGAGTGTGATTCATACTTGCATGTTATGATAGAAAACAACAAAAAGGTTATGATTAAGAAAGAGTTTCACCCCCCCCCCTTTAATCTAATAGTTCTTTATAAAAAAGATTTTTTCTAAAAAAAAAACCCCTGGTCCCCCAACAGCAAACGAGATAAAAATAATCTGACAATGACTTCTCGATAAAATGACAATATATGAAATAATTTACTTTGTCTTAACCGAAAACAAATCAATTTATGTTTTATTATTATCATTATCATTGTCATTATTATTATTATCATTTTATGAATATGTTTATGTTATGATAATCATATATGTTAAAATGATTTTAGAGAATTTAACAAAAACATAAATTTTCTGACTGTTGTCGAAGGATTTTCACTTTTTTTTTTCTCATCATCATTATGATTATTATTATTATTATGATTTATTTTTAAAAATTTTTGCTTAAAGTTTAAAGGTCATTGTAAATCGAACGAAATTAAAAAAAAAAAAAAAAAAAAAAAAACGTCCTTGAAATCGTGTCGAAAAACCGATAATAATAATAATTTTCTTTTTAATTACTCTAAGAGTAATAATAATAACAAATGAACAAACAAACAAACAAACAACAACAACAAACAACGACGTTTTAAAATAAATCGAACGTGATTTACCTACGGTCCTGTAATTTCTTTTTGAAAATTTAATTTGTCCCCCCACCCTCCCCCCGTGCGAAAAAAAAAAAAAAAAAGAAATTTAATTATAATAATTATCTCGCGATAAAAAGCGACACTTAAATCATTATTATTATTATCATCATCAACATTTTAATTAATAGGAATCATCATCATCATCATCATCATCATCATCAATCAATCGTTAACGATCTTTTTTTTGTTTCCTAATCGATTCTCGTTCCTTACAAACAAACAAACAAAATAAATAAAATTACCGGAAATGGTAAAATTTATTTTTAAATTAATATTTTGACATAATAATAATAGTAATAATAATAATAATAATAATAATAATATTAATGGTAATGATAATAATGATAATAATAAAAGGAAGGAAGAACGTGGAAGGTGTATAATCGTATCAATGAATGTTATCAATTCGGTGATAACGAACAACATCCTCTTCTCAAATATTTTTTTTTTCTTTTAGATTAAGGACCACACGTGGGAAATTTTTTTTTTTTTTTCGAACTATCGAATATTTCGATTTAAAAAATCGGATTTGACATTATCGTTACGATCGATCAATCGATCGATCGATCGAATTTATTCGTTTTATTAATAAAAAAAAAAAAAATTAATTTTCGAACGGAATCAACGTGCTATTATTTATTATCATGTTTACCTAAATTTTTGTTTTTTTGTAAAACGGTGAGAAAGAAAGTGGTATAGATTCTTATTGATTGATATCTATCGAAATTTTATTATCATTATTATCATTATTATTATTATTATTATTATTATTATTATTATTATTATTATCTCATTACATACGAATTTCGTGTGTGTTTGTGTGTTTGGATTTTTTCTATCGATTCGTTTCGTGTTTTAAAAAAAAAAAAAAAAAATTTATTTTGGAATGTTGGTGTGCCTGCTTGCCTGCCTGCCTTTTTTTTTTTAGTGTGTGGCCAGTGTCGATCATTTCTTTCTCTCTCTCTCTTTCTCTCTTTCGCTTTCTCTTCTCTCTCTCTCTTTTTTCTCTCTCTTTCTTTCTCTTCTTTCTCTCTCTCTTTCTCTCTCACTTCGTTTTTACTTCTTCAAGTTTCTCTCGCTCTCTTTTCTCTTTCTTTCACTCTTTCTCTCTCTTTCTCTTTCTCTCTCTTTCTCTTTCTCTCTCTCTTTCTCTCTCTTTCTCTTTCTCTCTATCTCTTTCTCTCTCACACGTTGTCGTATTTTATTCCTGTTTAAAAAATTTGCATTCATCGATTCGTATGAAAATTCGATGATCTAATTTTTTTTGTTGAGGAAAATTGAACGACCGGAAATCGGATGTTTAAAACGAGAGACCCTTACAATCATTTCCTCTATTTTTCGTTTTTCTATCTCAAATTTAAAAATTCGTAAAGTTTTTATGCCTCTTCATCGATCGCTCCCCCTCCCTTTCCCCCCCATACAGTTGAATTTTAACTTTTACTAAGTTTTTTTATCCATTCCTTTACAAATTTTTTTTAAAAAATCTGTTTTTAAGTATTTCCGGTTGAGGATTTAGCCACTTCCGACAAATTATTATCGTACTTCGTCTTCTAGCAAAAATATTCAAACGCGTTTTAAAAATATTGTTGGGCTGGTTAAACAACAACAAACGGACAACGAATTTTTTATTTTTTATTTTTGTTTTAACCCTGGTATATGTTTTTCATTCGAGAATCAATTGTTTGTTTGCTTGTTTGTTTGTTTGTTTGTTTTATTTCTTCAATTACGTCAACATATTGAAACATAAAAAAAAAACAAAACAAAACAAAAAATTTTCGAATTTACAATTTTTTTTTTTTTATTTACATTTCGACAATGATGATGATGATGATGATGATGATGATGATGATGATGATGATGATGATGATGACGACGACGATGATGATGATGATGATGATAAATTTACGTTTTACTTTATTTTATTATGTAAATTAAAAAAAAAAAAAAACGCGATTGCGAAATTTGGAGAGATCAAGGAAGAGTAAAATTTCTTTATCGAGTTGTTGTTGTTGTTGTTGTTGCTATTCCTATTATTATTATTATTTTTTTTATTATTATTATGTAATCCTATACTATTTTTTTGAAAACTCGTAGTTTCAAGGGTATTAATAATAAAAAAAAATCGCGTAGGAAAATTATTATTATTATTATTATTAATAAAAAAATTATTTATTTATTTAATTTGGAATCGTCGTAAAAAAAATCAAAATGGCGGATGGGAAAAATGTCGTTTACGTTTTTAGTAGTAGTAGTTGAATTTTCGCATAAATTTTGTTAATTTTATTGTAACAAAGTTGTAAAATGAAATTTTTTGAATTTTTTTCCAAAAAAAAAACTAAAACAATAAAGATGTTTGTTTGTTTGTTTGTTTGTTCCAAAAAAAAAAAAAAAAATCGAACGAACGAATAAGTTTAAACGACGCCAAATTTCCGAGTCGTGGCGTCGTGTTTTCTATCTCTTTCTATTTTCTTTTTCTTTTTCTTTTTGGGTCGTTTTTTGTGTGTGTGTGTGTCCCGATTCGTATGTTTTTGTTGTTGTTGTTGTTGTTGTTTTTGTCGAAATGATAATAATAATAATAATTTATTAAAATTTTGTTGTTGTTGGTTAGTCGTTTGTGTTAAAATTGATTTTGTCGTCATACGTTATTTAAATTTTTACGATACTTTTTCGTGTATTTCCGGTTTTATCACTCGTGTGTCTTTTAAATTTCCTACAGTTCCCGAAAAGAGGAGGGGGAGAAAACAATCAACGATTTCCGGTATTTTTTTAATTCTTTTGTATTAAATCCAAATTTTTGAATATTAAAACGACCGATTAACATCCCTAATTTTCTAGAACGAAAACGAAAAAAAAAAAAAATTTCATCCCTTAAAATCATCGAAACGAATCTTTTCAAGGACGACATTTTTTTTAAAACCGGAAGTAAATAATTCATTTCGGGTAAAACGTTCGTTGTCTTTGATTAATGAGAAAAATCGAACGAAAAAATTTCAATTTTTTTTTTTTTTGTTTTGTCGTGCCCGTGACCTTTGACCGTAAAAAATTCCTTCATCGATTTATTTTTATTCCTGGGGAAAATTCGAAATTTTTTTTTTTTTTCATCGTCTACAAAAAAAAAAAAAATCAAGGGTCATTCTTTTGTTAAAAAAATGGAATAAATTAAAAAGAAAATGATTTGGCAGTTTTCAGGGCCTGGCCAACTATTATTATTATTATTATTATCATCATTATTGTTATTGTTTCCCCCCCCCCATTTAAAATATTCCGTAACTAATTTTTCAAAAAATTTTTGTAAGAAAGAAAGTGAGATGACGCGAAGCAAAGAATCAAAAGAAAGACAACAACAACAACAACAAACAACAAACAACAACAACCGTTTTTGTGATTAATCATCGTTTTTCGAAAGAGAGAGAGAGAGAGAGAGAAAGAAAAATGGCGTTAATTTAAAACGTAAAAACCGTTAAAATCGTTTCAATCGTTAACGGGTAATATGTCAGCAGGTTGATTGAAAGACAGCAGAAGAATTTCTGAACGTACATCAATACTTCCGGTTCGTATTGTGACGTCATCATCGGAAAGAAAAACAAAAATTGTCATCATGTAATTCAATGTTTTAAATTTGTCACGTGGGTTATTGTCACGGCGTGAAATTTTTTTTTTTTTTGTTAGTTCCACGACATATTTTTAATCGAACTCTCTCTTTCTCTTTCTCCTCCTCTCCCCTCCCGACTTGTTAAAAAAGGTTAATTAGAGTAAAATGACTTTAAAATTTAAAAAAGTCGTCATCAGACATAAAAATAGAAATGTATTTTTACCACATTTAAAAAAATTGTACGATACGATAATGACGTTTTTAATGGTACGACGACGTGAAATCTACTTCCACTTTTTTTTTTCGTTAAGGAGAACAACACAAACATTTTAATGTCAATCATTATTTAATAGTAATCGAACCTTTTTGTTGTAGTTTTACAACAAAAGAGGATGTACCGTACCGGAAGTACGATTAATTTAAAATTAATTGAAACGTTTTTAAATAATCGGAAATCTGTTAGTAAATATTAAAGACACGATCCTCACGATTTCGATTCATTCGTTTAGTTATGGTAAAAATCGATTCAGGCACGTTTCGTGGGTGTTAGGCGGCGATGGCGGTGGCGGTGAGCAAAACATTTCAGGTACGCAACATATTATTTATACGTCGGGAGAAAAGCCTTCGAGATCGAAAAACTTGTTCTCGTCATTTTTTTTTTTTTTTTGGCTTGATGATAATGAAAAATAATTAGGGGAGGGGTGGGGGGCTCCCGTTTAATACAATGTAATAATGATGATGATGATTGTTTTAAATTACGAACAAAGACATCACCTTTCGTTAATGAATCCCGATTATGTATCACGTATTTAAATTGTGTGCGTGTGCGTGTGTGTGTGTGCGTGAGTGCGTGCGTGCGTCGGATACGAGATAAATGACATCAGTTTTATTTTTTTTCTTTTAATTGTCATTCAATTATGTTAATTATTATTTAAAAGTCCGAATGAAAAAATGAGAGAGAAACAGTTCGAGTGTGTTAAGAAAATTCGCTACGAACGTTCGCCATTTTTCTTTTCGAGTCGTACGCGTTCGTAATAAATAATTTTGAAATGGATGTTTGTAAATATAAAATGGAGGTAATTAATCAATTACAAGTTAATCTATCTGGTTTGTTTTTAATAAAAAAAAAAAATTAAACGTCAAAGTGTTTGTTGTTTGTTGTTGTACGATTTACGTCAAAAGAGAAAATTTCGAAAATGTCTGACGCGGACAATTTGTATATGGTTTATATCGATTTTCAAATATTTTTTTTTTAAATTTACGATGTTGGAAAAATGAAGGGGGAAAGAAGGGGAGGGGAGGGGAGGAGGACGAAAAGGATTATGGGAATCGAAGTGTTTTTCGCGAATTTTTTTTTTTTAAAAAACGTGGAAAATTGCAAACATAAACATTTTTTTCCCTATTTTTAACGTTTATATCATCATCATCATCATTTGCGTGTTTGTGAACCGACAGCCAGAAAATATTTTCATTTTATAAATAATAATAATAATAATAATAATGATAATAATAATAAACAAAATTCGAAAAATTCATTTGTTTATTTATTCGTTTGAAAATTTTTGCAGATCTCTCTCTCTCTCTCTCTCTCTCTCTCTCTCTCTCTCTTTCTCTCTCTCTCATTTGTTTATTAACCGAAAAAAAATTATTTTTAGATTTGTGTATTTTTACCGCGTCGATCGATCGATCTATCGATGGATCGATTTATCGAAAAAAAAAATCATAATAATACTCGAAAAAGAGAGAAAGAAAGAGAATGTAATGTAAAAGTTGAAGTATTTTACGTTAACCCCGCCCCTCGCCCGCTCCCCGCCCGCTTCCCCCCAATTTGATTTATTTTTACGAACGATAAAAAAAATTTTTTTTTTTTTCTATTAATTAATTATCGATTAAAATCAATAATAAAAAAAAAAAAAAAATCGCGATCGGAGAGAAAGAGAAAGAGTTGAAATAATCGAATCGGGTGTAATTAAGCAACAACGATAAATCAAAAAAAAAAAATTTATATAAAAACGAGGGGATGGGGAGTCGGGGGGCGGGAGTGGGGGGAAAATAATCTACGGTTTTGATAAGGAATTTTCTGTTTTTTTTTTTTTTTTTGGGTAAATACAAAAAGAACGTTGTTGAATTGTTTTTTTTTTAAAAGTGGGCGTTGTTAGTAAACTTTTCCTATCTGGGGGAATTTTAGTATTTTTTTTTTTTTTAAATATTTTTTTAATCATTTAAAAAAAAAAAAAAATGGCCGAAATTATAAAATGAGAATCGTTTTTAAAAAAAAAAAAAAAAAAATGTACATAAAAAGACAATAAAGCGTAAAAAGATATATAAATTTTCAAAACGATGTCGTTTCACGTTCGCCTTCCCCTACTTTTCCCCTCGTTTCCCCCCTCTCGCCCTCTTCCCCCCGAAACGAAAAAAATTCGTTTTTAATGATTACAATGATAATATATGGCCCGATTTGAAAAAAAACTTGTATCGATTTGTACATAAAACGCGCTTCCAGACAACATGTTTGTTATTACACGGATAAAAATGTAATCGAGTGGGAGTAAACAACCAAAAAACGACAACGAATTTGGTGGGGGGGGGGTAGGACGTCATTCGATATCGGTATGTTAGTTAAAGTTAAACGAAAGGAAGGTCAAAGTTCAAATTAGTGAGAAATCCATTCGACACATATTTAATTACCGTTAATGAACCGTTTAATTTTTTTTTTTTTTTCTCGTGATTCGTCGTCGACTTTTCCGGGCAATAGTTCGCGTGACACCAATATTATGTCACGACTAAAAATATATATAGGATGCCAAAGTTACGACGACGGCGAGATTTTTAATGACCGAACTTATTAATTTTTCTTTTAATTACTTAAAAAAAAAAAAAAAAAAAAAATTAATGACTCTCTATTGTGCGCACGCCTACGCGAACGCCACCGTATAATAATAATAATAATAATAAATTCATTGATTTTGTTTAAAACGTTAAAAAAAAAAAAAAATCCGAACGAACGGGATTTAATAATATAATTAATTAAATATACTAAAAGAACGCGGGGGGGGGAGGGGAGGCGAAAAGGAAAAAAAATTTATTGATCGCGTGATTGTTAAGAGCGTGACAAACACGATTCGAAAGAGAGAGAGAGAGAGAGAGAGAGAGAGAGAGAGAGAGAGAGAGAAAGATTAGAGCATTGAATAAGGGGAAAAGAGAAGAAACCATCCACGCGTTTTTTTTTTTTTTTTTAAATATTAAATAACCCTGAAAAAAACGCGCGTAATAATGATTTAACACGCGAAAGGGGAGCCCCTCTCCCCATTCCCGAAAATAAATTTTCCAATTAAAATTTTTTTTTTTTTTGCAAACAAAAAAAAATAATATGTTTGTGTGTGTGTGATATTTTGAAAGAAAGAAAATTTGACATTTAAGACCCCCGTGAAAAACAAGAAGAAGGGGGAGGAGGAGGAGGAGGAGGGGAGGGAAGAGAGAGAGAGAGAGAGGCGTTTTCAAGATAGATTCCATTTTTTGTTGAAACTAATCTACCATCGTACGTATCTGGTTTTCTATTTTTTTTTTGGGGGAGGAGGGAGACGTTCGTAGAAACGTTCGATTTCACGAAAAAAAAAAAAATCTTTTTTATTTTTTTGTAACGGTTCGAATATGGCGGCAGCGGCGTAAATTTTTTTTTTTACATTAATTAATTAATTTATGCTCATTCGCCAAACGCACCTGTTAGGTGTGTGTGTGTATCTTGCGTGAATGATAATAATAATAATAATAAATACGATTTTTTTTCGCGTTTTTGTTTATTATTATTATTATTTTACTTTCGCGTTCGGTATAATCGCGAACGTGACGAAAGACAAAAATAAATATATATCGATTTGACTTACCCGTATGTAAAAGAAAACAATGCTCAAGTTTTGTAAATCTCACCATAAAACGGAACAACAAAAAAAAATTGAGGAGGTGAGTTGTTGTTGTTTGTTGTTGTTGTTGTTTTAGTTGTTGCCACTGTCCAAGGGCTCCCTGAAACGAAACAATCATCATTAATCGTATCCGCCCTTTTTTTCTTTTCATAGGTGTGTTTTCGTAATGCAACCGTTGTTGAATTTACAATTAAGGGACGGTTGATGATGATGATGATGATGATAATAATAATAAGGCTTCTCTTTGTTTTTATTTTTCATCATACGTTTATGAATTTTTTTTTTTCGGGAAGGGGGGAGGAAGGGGAAGAATTTTGTTTTATTTAATTATGAATTACCCCTTTTGCAGGTGAATCCGGGGAGTAAAGCAGCTCTCAAAGGGATAAGAGAAGGTGATATAATAAGTTCGATAAATGGAACATCGACGAAAAATATAAGAAATCGTGGAGCTCACAGCCTTTTGAGAAACGCCGGAGAACAACTCAGATTGAGTTTAAACGAGTGAGTATGCTTTATTAACTACATTATCCCCCAGGAGAGGAGGGGAGGAGAGAGGGAACGGGATGAAACGGGATTATTTAAATGGGATTCGTTATAGCCGAACAATTCACGGGAGGGAAAAAAAAACCGGTTTCGATCGTAACGGACATTTTGGGGAGGAGAAGGCGTCGGTGGGAAATTCCGTAACGATCCCTCACGTTAATCAAATCCACAACTATAAAATAATAATAATAATAATAATAATTCGGACTTATTACGGTACTGAACGAGTGCGAAAAAATTTCTTCCATTTAAACAAAAAAATTATTTTACGTAGTCGTCATAAATTTATTTTAATTTAAAATGATAACCCAATTTTTAAAACGTCAGTTATAAAAATGAATACATCAAAATGATAATAATAATGATAATGATAATAATAATAATTAGTATCACTATTGAATTTATCGATTTTTTTTTTTCTATTTATAGTTCATTCACAGGGATCCAAATTGATTTTTTTTTTTTATAACTTTTTAATTCGCTTTTAATTTACCGCTATTGGTTTACAATAATCATCATCATCATCATCATCATTATTATTATCATTATTTATTTATTTTAAATGGATTGAATGGAATTATGTTACACGTTTTGATTTAAAAAAAAAAAAAATGTGGGCGTTATTATAGTCCGTGTATCGGATGAGTGGTAGCTAGATATCATTCCCATAAGGCGTAGTTTTCAAATTTTTTTTTCAACTTTTCATTATTATTATTATTATTATTATTATTATTATTATTATTATTATTATTATTATTTCATTAAATATTATTGTGAAAATCATCGGGTCAACAAAATATTTGACGCGAATAAATTATGAATGACACCGCGATTGCTCTTTTTTTTTTTTTTAATTATTAATTAATCAATGCGATTAACTTGAGAATTTAATTTTTGTTTGTTTGTTTGTTTGTTTTTTCAGGGATGGTTTGTCGTCTCCGAGGCGGAAAATGAAACAAACAACTGTAACGACGGTTTTCACAGAAGAACCGAGTAAGATTTAAATAATAATAATGAAATTTTCTTCTTTTTCTTCTTATTACTGTCGGTTTATTTAATTAGTTGCGATGATTTAAAAGGTCATGTTAAAAATGGCGACGGATTTATCAAAAAAGCAACGGAATTATTATTATTATTATCGTTTAGGAACGTTCGTTTGTTCGATTGGGAAAAGGGAAAAATAAAACGCGCGCGTTTACCACGACTTAGCAGACGAAAAAAAAAAAATTAATTAATTTGTCACGCGCGCGATTTACGATATTAGGAGCCCCGAAATTCCCTCTCCCCACCAAGAAATTTTTAGGCGCGTTTTTTTTTTAAACGTTTTCTTTATTCCCCCCCCCCCGTAGAAAACATCGAATAAATATTTCCGTACGAGAGAAAAAAAAAAAACAACAACGAGTACCGTTAAAAATTATATTCGAAAGTTTTTTGCCATCGATATCGTCAAATCACCATCATCATCATCATCATCATCATTATTATTATTATTATTATTATTACGTTTTGAATGAAGGTGCCACTTACGAAAAAAAAAACCAGATTTTTTTTTTTTGTTGCGTGCAAAATTATTAACGACGCCGAAACCTAATAGTCTATTACAAGGTATAACAAACAACATCATCATTATGGCGGTTTTTTATTATTATTATTATTATTATTATTTTAAAAAAATTCAAATCCGTTCGGAATAATAATAATAATAATAATTCCAATTACTACTTTAACGGTTTTTTCGGATTCAAAACTGGGCCTTTTTGGTTTCCGACGAATGAAACGTTAAAGAATTTAACTTATGGACAAGACGACGACTCGAGCATTGAGAAAGAGGAAGAGGAAAAAGAGGAAGAAGAGGAAGAAGAAGAAGAAGGATAAGAAATGTGGCACCACACCCTGAGGATATATTAAAGAAAGAGTTCCGCAGAGAAGATCATCATCATCATCATTAAATGACAATGTTTGAGTTTAATAAAAGAGAGGCGTTAACGTTTCGTAGAATCGAAATCTTTTTTTATATTTATCTTATGTTATTTTCTTTATTTAATAATAATAATAATAATCGTTTCATGGTATTTGTTTTTGTGTTAACAAAGTTCGATTCAGTTTCGATTTCGATACGAGAATATATACGATAAGGATTTAAGACAGAGAGAGAGAGAGAGACAGAAGAAGGATAAAATGAGTTATTATAAGTGATTGTGTGTGACAAAGAAAAAAGGAAAAAAAAAAATGAAAGTAAAATGAAATTTATAGTGTGTCCATCTCGATGTACGGGAGACGTCGACTCAAATAAGGATTTTCAATTGGAAAATGAAAAGGAAAGGAAAAAAAGGGGAGATGTGAAAATAAATGGCGGAACGAAAAAAAAAAAATCGAACAGGTTACGGGAAGTTATAAAAACGCTGAAATTTTTAGCATTCGGAAGAGGAGGAACGAAAAAGGAGGGAGCGACGAGGGGTCGTTGTCAAAAAAATGTTGACGCGAAATCGTTCCGGAAAACCCGAGGGATAAAAAAAAATCGGGACGAGGAAAAGACAAAAGGAAATTTGGAAGACTGTAAAAATTTGAAAACCGTCGTCGTTGTAAGAGATTTAAAAAGGAGTCCGAAAAATTACGGGATTAGGGGAAGGGAAAAAAAAATCCCTAGGGAAAATGGTAAAAAATCACCGCCGGAAAAACCTAAAAGAAACAATTGGAAAAAATTAGAAAGCGATCGTAAAAGTCCCGTTTTTGGTGTCGTTAGAAAAACCGTCGGGAAAACGAGTCCGGTCGTATCCTACAGGAACAGGAACAGTCCTTTAAAATCCAGAAAATTTAAAAGTGGTAAAAGGTTGAATAATTTTTTTCTTAACGAAACGTCTTTTCTATCGTCGATAGCAGAAGAAAGTTCTCGTAAGTTTTAACACTAATTATTTTTTTCATTTTGAATTTTCCGGGGGAAAAAAAACCTGAAAATCAACGACGCCATCTTTAAAATTAAGGATTAAACTAAATTAACGTTTGTCGTCATCGTCGTCGTCGTCTCATCCGTCGCATTAATAAGAAAATTGACAAAGTTTTAAATGGGATGACAACAGCTTTAACTAAATTGCCCTCGAGAACTTAATCAAATCTATTATCCCTCTCGTTATTATTATTATTATTAAATTTTCACCTTCAGACTTTTGTGGATGAAAAAAAAAAAAAAAAAAAAAAAACTATTATTATCATTATTATTATTATTTATTTTCGCGACCGACGGAAAGTGTCCAGATTCGAAACCGGAAATTTACTCAACGGTTCAATAGTTTTGCTAAATTGATATAAGGCGTGTCGGGAAAAGAGATGATAATGATAATGATCGCGTTGACGATCGCGATGATGATGATGATAATAATAATAATAATAACATTTACATTGATGGTTCTTTTTTTTAAAAAAAAAAATTTTCCACGCGTTGACGTGAGATTTTTTTTTTTCGGGGCCTTAATAATTAATTAATAAAATTAACACGTGTTAAATACGTAGTAGTTAGTAATAATGTAATTAGAAAAAAAATTATTTTGGGGGCCTTGAATGAGAATATTTTGATTGCGAAAAATTTTTGACCCCCCCCCCCCCAGGTCACGTTAATTTGAATTTTTTTTCCATTTTTTAAATGTCACGAAACCCGTCGGTGATGCGAAACGAAATAATCCATACGTTCGATTCGATATCTCGTTCGATTACGATCGAGAAGTATGATTAAATGATTAAAAAAATCGATCGATCGATCGATATTTAACCGCGAACGAAACGCGAACGTGAAATTTTTTTTTCCTTAATCCGTTACACGAAGTAATAATTCCGTTAATAATTCCCCGAGGCTGACGTTTTATACGGCAAACATTCATCGTGGCATCTATTTTTTTTCTTTCAACAATTGGTAACATTGTCAAAACAACAACAATAACAACAACAATCGACAAACAATTTCTTTTTATTTTAATGATAACAAATTAAATTTGATTCGTGAGAGAGAGAGAGAGAGAGAGAGAGAGAGAGAAAAAGAGAGAGATAGAGAGAGAAAGAGAGAGAGGACATGTTTTTTTTCGGGGGGAAGTGAGGAGGGGAGGATTCGCGAACGGGCGTACGTTAAAACGTAAAATTTTTTTAAAATTCAAATTACTTTTCGAAATCGTTTCGGTTTCTACCCCCGCGATTTGTTTTTTTTTTTTTTTTTTTTTGTCTGCTCCCACAGTATTTAAAATTTATTTTTCTAAAACCACGTCGTTTCAAAACCGCAATCGGAATCATTTTTTTTTTTTTTCTTAATTGCTCAAAGCCACAAAAGAAGTGGATTTTATATTCAATCGTTTATTATTTTTTTCGAAATTATTTTTACACACACACGCACGCAAACAATTTCATTTTGTTTGTTTGTTATTATTATTACCTGGTTGTTGTTGTTGTTGTTGTTTGTCGATTTATTTTTTATTATTTATTTTCAGTTTGTTTACGTCTCTACCCACCACCTTTTTTTTTTTAAATTTCATTCATGTCTTACGCACGTATTTACTATACGAAGGAACACGCGAAAGGAAAAACCTAATTTGCGAGTGTGTGGGAGGAAAGGGAGGAGGAAGAGGAAGAGTTGAGGCGGCGGGGGCGTAGCAGACGAAATATTTACGTTGATTTGTTTACAATACAAACGTAATAATAATAACGTTTCTTTTCATAACGGCATCAAACGTTTTTGTCTCTTTGTTATATAATAATAAAAAAAATGGGCCTTAACGTAACGTTTTTTTTTTTTTTTTCAAAAGATAAATTAATAGTAATAATAATAATAATAATATCATCGCAATCAAACATGACGTATAGAATTAAAGAGACCGGAGGTTTATTATAATCAAAAACATACAGGAACAACAAGGGAGAGAGAGAGAGAGAGAGAGAGAGAGAGAGAGAGAGAGATAGAAAGTATTGAATGAAAAAACATTTCGAGTACTGCCTCGCATGGAGTCGGGAGATTCATCCGTCCGTATCTTTAACACCGTTTTTATTATTATTATTTTATTTATTTAGTGAGTGAAATTTTTTCACGTCGTCCGGATCGGTCATTTAATAAAAAAAAAAAAAAAAAAAAATTTTTTTTTTTTTCGTTCGACGAGTTTTTATTTTGATTTTGACCCGAAGGTTTATCGGTCGCCATTTTGTTTTTTTTTTTTGTCGTGTTTTTCGTAATTATTATTATAAGAATACGTTCGTCGAATTTGTCGGTATCGAAAACAAACAAGTGAATATCATCATTTTATTTAAACTATCTCTATCTCTCTCTTTCTTTCTTTTTCTATTTATCTCTTTCTCTCTCTCTCTCTCATACAAAATTAACGATTTTACGTTATTAACGCGTAAAGCCGCCTAAAGGGAAAAATTTTTTCTTTTTATTCTCGTTTGAAAATTTTTTCCGATTCGATTCGATTACGTTCGATTTAAACGAGGGATAAATTATAATCGTATTAAATGTTTTTTTTTTTTTGATTGTAGCACCATCGGGATCGGAAACTGTTACGACGACACGTACCATACACGTGAGAAAATACGAAGATAAGGGTGAAAATAACGTTACGGAAAAAGTTCAAGCTCAAATTCACGCAGAAGAATCAAACAAACAAACGAGGGAAATAAAACAAAACGAAAAAGAAAACGGTGAGTGTTTTAGTCTTTTCAAACAATAATAATAATAATAATAATAATAATAATTTTTATGGGGAGACGTCTGGGGAGAGTCTCCCTTTTTATCCCGAACCGTACGAATTCGCCATGTTTATTTTTTTAATAATTCGCGAACGTCATTTTACGTTAAAACATTCGATTTTATTATTATTATTATTACATATTATTGTGTCGTTTTCGAATTTGGAGATTTTTGGGGAGTAGCAACGAACGTTGGGGGGGGGAGTTGAGGAAAACAATGGGAAATTTCTTTGGAAAAAAATTAAATTTTTCGATCGTGACCGTCAATTTTATATTCACGGTAGAATAATTTAGTATGAGACACGCACACACACACACACACACACATTTAAAAGGGGGAGGGGAAAAAAGGTACAGAAAAAGGGGGGAAGGGCGTTCGGTTTCCTTAACATCGAGTTAATGAAAAAACGTTAAATTCTGTTTATGAAAAAACAAAAACAATGTTAGGTGATTTCCTCTCGGGGATAAATGATCGTGACCCGTGTATCGTTCGAATACGTGTCATTAACTTCGGTTTTTCCCCCCAACAAAAAAAAGGGGGAAGGGAGAAGAGGAGGGAGAGGAAAATTTAAAAAATTATGTAAAAATCACGTGACGTCACTTTTTTTCCCGCGAAAAAATTTAAAAAAAAAAAAAAACAAAATGTCGTTTCCCGCGTAATTTAACGTTTTCTGGGCCCCCCATTTTTTTTTTGGTTCGTAACGTTGCCCCACGCGGTTTTCAAATGACATTTTTCACAAAGAAAAAAATGTGTCCCCCACACTAATTTATTTATTTAAAATGTGGTGCAATTGTTAGAAAGAAAGATTGCCAAAAAAACAAAAAAAAAAAAAAAAATTTCATCGGCCAAATTTAAAAAAAAAAAAAAAAAAAAAAAAAAAAACATTCAAGCGCCGCGATTCAATATATAAAAATATGATTTCATTGATACAGTTGGCACCCCTTATCGGTTTTTTCCATTTTTTTTTTTCGTATTAATAAAACAAATAAATTGACAATAAAAATTTTAGTCATTGACTTAATTTTGACTTTGTGAAATTTTTTTCAATAAAAAAAAAAAAATTTTTTTTTTTGTGCGTGAGTGCGTAAGTGCGTGCGTAAGTGCGTGTGCGTGCGTCGTATTATTTTTTGTGATAATAATAATAATAATTAAAAACTTTTAAAAAATTTTTTTGTTTTTTTCCGTAAGAGAATTTTTTTTTGTTGTGTGTGTGAATCGTCTTTTTGGGAAAAGTTTTTTTTTTTTTTTTTTTTAAAAAAAAAAAAAAAAATTTTCGTTTCTTTCTCTGTCGTTAGTTATTAAAAAAAAAAAAAAATTTATTTTTAATTTTTTCGAACGCGGAACAACAACACAACAGCAAAAAAAATGTTTGCGAATGAATTTTCACGGCGTGATCAAAAGTTTTAGTTGATCGTACGTAAAAATTTGTGTTTTTTAAATTGTTTTGTGTTGTTGTGGGAAATTTTTTTTTTTTTTTGAAAAAAAAAATGCCGAAAAAAAATAAAAAATCGAAACAAAAAAAAATCGAAAACGATACAATCAACAACAAACAACGAAATGAGGAGAAGCAGAAACAGCAACAGCAGGAGGAGAAGGAGGAGCAGGAGGGGGAAGAACGTAGGGAAGAAGAAGATGATAAAAAAACAGAATGTAAAAATGACGTAGAGGAAAGAGGAAATGAGGAACCGGAAGAAAAGAAAAATGTCTCGTGTTTATCCCTCGATAAAAAATTAAAAATGCAAATAAAAAAACAAAAGAAAAAAGAGAAAAAACTCGCTTTCGAAGCTACGAAAATTAAAAAAGTCGAAGAAGAATCGGTGGAAAACGACGGAGCGGAAAATTCGGGAGAAATGATAACAACAATGGAAAAAACGTCAAATCAAACGAAGGAAAATGAAAATTTAAACGATGGAAAAACGAATTCAAATGATGGATTGGGATCGGAAAAGGAAGAAAATGTCGGCGATGGAAAGGAAAAAGAAAAACTTTCGGAGAAAAAAGATGAAAAGTCGACGGTTGAGGTTGGCAAAAACAACAGCGAAACAAAAGATTCGGAAAAGATTAAACGAACGTCGTCGTCGTCGTCATCACCCGTTCATTCACCAAATTTAAATAGGAAACATTTCGAAACGGATGCCGTTATGACAACATTTTACACGTATCCGAGCGTTTCCTACGCCGGAAATCTCGTACAACAAGTTATAATAGAAGAAGGAAGTTCCGAAGAGAGTCAAGAACAGTGCCCTACGAGAAAGTTAGACGTCATATTGGAAGAAAGTAGCGATTTGAGCGATGCTTCCGATAAAAAAACTAAAATGACAACCGGCGGCATGAACGCACACCTCCACGTTTCCGAACGTGGTCCTTACAAAATTTATCCGTTAAAAGAAGAGAGTAGTGACGTGAGCGACGCGACATTCGACGATTCGACGGATTTTCAAACGACAAACAAAGGAAACGTATTGAAAATGAATGGCGGAGAAAGTAAATCGGAAGATAGTTACGAAATTAGTCAAACGGAAACGTCGTTTGAAATCTCCGAAGATCCTTCCTATCCCGAACCCGTGACAACTTACTATAAGGGGGCGGTTGAAAAAGAGGAAAAAAGAATCGGGGAAGGATTTTACACGATTAAAAAATGTCCCAATAGTTATAAATATTACGAAGAAGAATCCGAAAGTTGGAGAAGTAGCATCGAACCGGAAACGACGTGTAACGAATCGGATGCGGATGTCGAAAGCGAATTGGATAGTCAAAGGACGCCGAGTACGAACGAGTGGAATAATAAATTCAAAACGTCTCGTAAATTTTATTCGGAAAATTTTAACGAGGATTTGAAAAATTTTATAAAAACGGACACGCTTTCATCGGATCCCTCTAACATATGCGGTCCCATTTACGAAAATGTTTCGATAGTCATCGATAAAAATAAAACGAAAGACGAATCGTTGTTGTCTTCTGTCACGTCAAACGACAATTTTTTGGCATCTTACGATTCGACGGGAAACGAAAATTTCTTACGGAAAAGGTTCGAAAATAACGGAAATAAAATACAAAATAATTTATTGAAACATCGAATCGAAGCGATTAAAAACGACATGGAGAAAATATTGTTATCGAAAGCAAAAGTTATCGATTCGCGGGACGAGATTAATCTCGATAGAAATTCATGGACTTCTCTATTGAACACGACGGAAAAACAATTGAACGAATCACGTGGGGTACCATTAAAAAATTTTACAGGTTTCGTCGACGACGGTGAAAAATCAGACGTGACGACCGTTAAAAACGATGATAACAATGTTATTATTATTAATAATTCATGTTCTTTTTCTCAGAATCCGGAAGCTCTATCAAATTTAGCAGAAAAAAAAATATTAACTCTACCATACGGTAAATTAATATTAAGGAAAATCGGTTTAGGTAAATGTTGTTCGAACAACTGTAGAAACAGTAGGGGAGACGTGGAAGAAGACATGTACGTGAAAAGCAAGCGTCATTTAAACGAACTATCGGATCATCCGTCGGATGCATCCGTACGAAGCCTTCCGACGAGTTTAATAAATAGGGATTCGATTAACGAGGACGAAAGGGATTTAAGCTTCGTGGAATTTGATTATGCGGATGCGAGAATCGGGCAAATAGAAAAATGGTACGGAGCCCGTACCATGGTTCCGGCTTTGTTTCTCGGTTTGTCTCCGTCTCAAAAAAAAGCCTACGAGGAAAAAGTGAATAAATTCATGACGGAAGAAGTCGAAGCCGCGAGTTTGCTTGACCTTCATCAAAAATTTTTACAAAGGAGAAGTTACGACGAAACGAATTCTCTGACGAGAAAAAAAAATACCTGTTACGATTCGAAAACGAAAGATAATTCCATCATACTCACTCACATAGGTAAACCGGGTGGAATGTTTGGAAAAACGGAGATGGAATTGAAAAAAAACGAAAAAATTTGGGACGGAAGAATGAAAGAGAAAAAAATGGCGGACAAAGAGATAAATTTATTAATGCAATCGTGTAAAGAGTCTGGCCAAAGTCCAGATGGCAACGAGAATTTCGTAGTTGAAAATTGTGAAAATTTAAACGTGTCGGATCATGTTTTAAAATCGGTCGCACGAAACGACGACAGAGATCTTTTCTCCTCTGTGAAAAAAATGAACGCGAAATCATGTGATGTAAAAAACGAAGAGAAAATAAATGAAAAGTCAGGAGGAGGAGAAGCCGTTGGCAAGAGTTGTTTGTTGGCAATACTTCAAAATGCAACATCAGACACGTTCGTTCCCGAATTAACGCTCGCGGAATCTAGCGTTGAATCCGCAAGCGAAATCAACGAGGATTCATCAGTGCGCAGTCAAAAATCCGTGATAAATTCTTGGCATAGCAATCCGATATTCGCAAATAAGAATACGAATGATGAAAAACACGAAAATGAAACGGATGATTTATTTGAGGAAGGACCCGGGAAAAGTTTCGAACGGATTTGGAACAAAGAAAAAAAAATAAGCGAATGCGGAGCTTTGGGAGAGAGTCCAACGCGGGTTGCGTATCGTCCGAAAACAATTTGCTGCGAAAAGGAAACGGATGTAGTATCATGCGTGAAAGAACCCATTTTCGAAAAAAAAATAGCACCGCTCAAAAATGCCCCGGTTCCGGGAAAACAATCGAAACCGGAAGAAGGTTCGATCGTGACGGAAAATCTACCACCCGTTTCCGACGTTATAAAATCATTCGAAGAACCCAAATCATCAACGGTCAAGCCGAATTCCTCCGAGGATTTCGCGAGGAAAAAAAGAGAAATACGAATCGATAACGAAAGGTATCGAATATCGAGAAAGGGTGACATTGCTTTTTTACAAAATGGCGACGCGCGGTTCAAAAACGGAAAACAACAAATCGCTAGGAGGGAAAAAAGAAAATCAATGCCTGCCTCGTTACTCTCGGAAAAAGAAATATTCAAACAAAAAATGTACAACGAATACATGTCGAAATTGGCGGAAAGAATTGAGAGGAGACAAAAAAAAGTCATAAAAGTCTCGCAATCGAACGAATTCGGTGACGTGCCGGAAGACACCGCGAGATATTTCGATTTGGAAAATGAATTCATAAGAAAAGTAAAAGAAAGGAGAGAAAAATGGAAAGATGGAGAAATGACGAGAAAAGATGGAAATGACGACGATCTCTATTTAAATTGTTTCGAAAGGAAATGTCAAGAATTTACGGATTACTGGAAAGGCGAGATATCGAATCTCGAAAATGAGGATTTGATATCGTACGGAGATAAAATCGGATTCGATAATTATAAAGAAAATGGCGGAAACGAATGTTCTACGAATTATAAACGGAACAGCGTTCAACTTATTTTAGACGACACGATTGACGTTGATAATTTGCCCAAACATTTAAAAGAACTACTTTTGGTAGAAGAAGATGATTTTCCCGAATTATTTTACGGTGAGTGTCCTGTCCTCACACCACTACTACCTCTTTGTTACCCGTTACTTACTACTCGTTCGTATTAACAAGTTTGTTTTGTTTTTGTTTTTTTTTTGCATCACGAACGGCGGGATTTTTTTAAAACTGACCGTTTTATTATAATCAGCGCGATTAAACGTTCGTTAAAAAAAAAAAAACTTTCCGAATCTAATGCCACGTTAATAGTTACCGCATATAACGTCATATTTGTAAAAATCACGTGTTAAAATGCTTACGTCATCATCATTTGCACCACATCAATCGACTACTTACACGTCACTATTTACTTCACGCACGGGGGGGGGGGGGTGACACGTAAATGATAAAAAGAGTAGGGGACCGAACGACGTGAAAAATTTAGAATAGTATTCGAAATTCATTTAAATTTTTTTTTTTTCCGTTAAAAAAAAAAAACTAAGATGGCCGTCAGCGAGTTATGTCGTCATCGTCGTCGTCGTCGTCGTCGTCGTCGTCTCGTTGTCAAATTTTACAAAAACACAAACATAAGAAAATAAATTTGTTGAAAGAAATCGACGAAAATTTGATTTTGAGCAAAGGATTCTTATTCGGTAGAGGTTTGTTTATGTTTGGTCATCACGTGACATTTGTGTCGCACCCCTCGTCACTGTCATCATTGTTTATGTCGTCTGCACGCGCGAGTAAAAAAGTAACCGTTAAAAAAGATGGCGTCGTCGTCTTCCTTCCTTTTTCTTTTTGTTTCTTTTTTGTCTTTCACCCTCGTTAAACCAACCTTTTACCGTTTCGTATTTCCGTTTCCGTTTGTTTGTATCTTTTCGTAATGTTTTCTTTCGTCGATCTAATGTTACGTTTTTTTTGTTTATCGCGGTTCTCGCTGACGTCACGTTTTTCATTTTTTTTTACCGACGCGTTTTTGAAATGTCGACGACCAACCTACTTAAATTACTTTAATTATGATAAATATTAAAAAATTCGACTCACCGAACCTGAGGCCATCGGAAAAAATTAAAATAAATCCAGTTTTAACAATTTTGGAAATCGATACGAAATGATCGATTTCGATTATGATTGTTGTTGTTGTTGTTGTTATTGACACGTCGTTTCGTCGTACCGCTTGTGACCTGTAAAGTGCAAACAAAAAGTATGTAAGTTTGCATAATTGATGAAATTCAGGCGTTTTAATTTTTCGTCGTAAAGTCGAATGAAAGCGAACGGACGGACGGAACGGGAACGTTCGAGATGTTTTAAGCAATCATCGTGAAGGGGGGAAGAGGAAGGGGAGGAGTAGGAGGATTTCGAAATTTCCTTTGGCAGAGATAACGGTCTCGAAATTTTTTGTCGGGATATATGATGAGGAAGATTTTTTTTTTGGGGGGGACGAGTTCAGGTAGAAGATTACGACAGCGTTCGAGAGTTTTTTTTGTCCTCCCCTCCCCTCCCCCCGCGGAGAGAAGTTTTCGTCAAAAACGTCACGAATTCGTCAAAGTAAAAAAAAAAAATTTAAATTTTTCGAACCATTAATTTAATTTAATTCATGTTTTTGGGCGCGGAAAATAAAAAAAGAAAAAAAATTTCCATACGATTTTCTACGACGCCTTTTTACCCTTTCGTCGTCGCCATTTTCTTTTTGGTAAATTAATAAAAATTTAAATTTTTTAATCGATGTTTTTCGACGACTTCGCCTAATTTTTTATTTTCCGGGCGTTTAAACGATTTCATTTTTTTTTTTTTTGTATTTCGTAATCCGCCTTTGTTTTTTTCTAACATTTTTATTTAAACATTGAAGACGAGTGCGTGCGTGCGTGCGTGCGTGTGCGTTTTTACCGTCGGTAACGAACGAATATTTTCTTTTTTTCGAATCGGGTACGTATCATAAGAAATATAAAAATCATTTTCAATTTTTTTAAATTTTGGCGCCAAATTTGTCACTGGCGGAAACGTGACGAAACGATTTTTAAAAAAAAATTTTTGCTTCATTCTGATAAGTTAAGCAAGTATAATTTTTTTTTTTTTTGTTCATCCGGTTTAAATTTGATATCGTTTCATTCGATTATATCGAATCGTTAATTTCGATTAAATTTTTTTTATCTATTGCCACGACGATTTATAAATCGTTCGTACTGTATATAAATTATTTGAAATTTTTTTTTTTTTTCTTAAATCAATTCGAGCGTGAGAATGCGAATTTGACTTTGAATGATTGAATGAATGATTGATTGATTGATTGAATGGAAAAAATGAAAAATTTTCCTCGAGTGGTTAAGAGAGAGAGAGAGGGAGAGAGAGAGAGATTTAAAATTTATCTTTACATCTATACGTCGTCATACTTTTATTTATAATTTTAAAAAAAATAAAACGCAAAAATAAATGGACCGGAATAAAAACAAATTCGCGGATTTTTTTTTATAGTGACACGGTGTCATTTGATACCGAGATCAGTACGAGTGTGAGAGAGAGAGAGAAACGAAAAAAAAAAAGGAAAAAAAATTTGAAGAAAATGAGAGAGAGAGAGAGAGGGCATTAATGTGATTCGATTAACGTCAGGTGTGTCGTCGTTTTTATTATTTATGACAACGACGACGACGACGACGACGGTGGCTAAATTTACCTGAACGTATTTTATTTTAGTAATAATAATAATAATAATAATAAAGTCGATGGTGATGTTCGCGTCTCTCGCGTACGACAACGTAAAATTACGTTGAGCGTTTTTTTTTTGTAAAGAAAATCGATAGAGGATCGATAAATTTGTCGATTGATTTGATGAATGAAAATATTTTAAGAAATTAAATTTAAAAAAATTTGTTTATCGAATCGTTTCTCTCTCTCTCTCTCTCTCTCTCTCTCTCTCTCTCTCTCTCTTTCTCTCTCTTTCTCTTTCTCTCTTTATTTACACCCACCATTTTACTCCCATCATTTCTTATTTCTTTCACTCAAATTTCGCAATTTTTTTTTTTTATTTTTCGTCGTCGTTTAAAACACATTTACGAACAAACGCACGCACGCACGCACGCACGCACACACACACATTTCATAAACGTATTAAAGTGTAAAACGCGTCCGTTCTCGTCGGGATATCCGTTCGAATGAGAGAGAGAGAGAGAGAGAGAAAAAGTTCAAATTGTAGGTGTACGTACGTAAAAAACGAACGAACGGAATTGTTGAAGCGTTTGTTCGAACGGTGATTCGCGGACGCGGCGTTGTTCGTTTTTCCAACCGTCGAAACTTTTTTTTTTTAATATTCACGAACGGGCCGAACGCGTGTATTAATAATAATAATAAATGAATAATAAAAAATAAAAAATTAATTCGAAAGAAACGTAAGCGTCAAGCGTGATTTATTTACTCGTATCATCAATGGTAGTCGACATCGACGTCGTCGTCGTCGTCGTCGACGAAAATATTATTGGAACGTCGTTTTATTTTTAATTTTAATTTAATTTATTTTTTTTTTTTTTTTTAGTTTTTCACGTGGCGCTTTTGAGTTTGACTCAAATTTTTTAATTTTTAATTTTTAATTTTTTTTTTGCTTTACGTCATTCGTTGCTTGCGAATTTACAAGTTTCGGTCGTGGAATTAAGTGAACTTAAATAATAATAAAAAAATTCCACGTGTTTAAATAATAATAATAATAATTTTTTTTTGTAAAAGTGTCGTTCCGCGAATTTTTTTTTTTTTTTTTTCATTTTCTCCCAATTAATTTTTATTTAATAATAAACGACAGACAAATCGTCGTTTGATTTTTTTCCCCTTTTTTTTTTCTTTTTTTCTTTCACGTTGGCCGCCCTGATCCGACGACGAAAATTTAAATTTAAAATTTTTCATTTTTTTTTATTTGTTTTCTCGACTCCATTAGAAAATTACGAGGATATCATGTCGGGTTCGGTTTTATTTTCTCCCAATTTCAAAGCAACTTCGCCACGTCCAGGTAAAAAAAAACGACTCGAAATGATTTTTTCCTGTTTGTTCTTGAAAATTTTTTGTTGTGGTTGTTGTTTTGAAACTGTTTGTTTTACGATTTAAATGCGTCATTTTGTCCTTTTTTTTAACTTTCGACTAAAAGCTTTTTGATTTATTTACGTTAATAAATAAATAATTTGTTTGTGTCCGACATTTTTTCACAGTTTGTTTTTGTTTTTTTTAATGTAACCGACAGACAAACAAACAAACAGACGATTGTTGTTTGAGTAGATTTAACGGTTTCATTTTACGAATTCACATGATAAAAAAAAATTTATTCGAATATTAAATGCATGATGGACGACGAGTAAAATAATTTACATTTAAAAAAAAACTGGGCGAACGTGAAATAAAAAGTGCGGGTTGTCTGTTTTGACTTGAGTGAAAATTTGGCAACGTTTGTCATATACGTTCGTATATACGTTTTGTTGTCTTCAAAGACGTTCTGGCTGGCACAGGAAAGCTTTCGAAATTTTTTTTTTTATATTTGTATTGTACGCGTCTCAAATTTCTTTCACTTGATTGTTATTTTTTTGGTCGTTTGTTGCGTATGCTCGTTCGTTTGTTTGTTTGTTACTAAGAATTGTCAAAATGGGACGAAAGTTTAACGAAAATGATTTTTTTCTTTTTTTTCTAGGAGTTTGGTCTCCCACGCAAAAAAACGTTGTAGAAAAGACTGAAGAAGAAAAAGAAGAAAATCAAGAGAGGAAAAAATTAGAAGATGAACCCATCCCACCCGTATGGACTCCAAAGTCCGCACAAGCTAGTCCCGTTTTAGAAAAAAAAGAATTTCGTCCCGTTAATTTTGAATCTCCCGTTTTATCCAGGAAAAAATATAATACTCCAGACGTAAGAATTTTAATTTTTTCTTCCTCCCCTCCCCCCTTCCCGTTGCTGTTGCAACCACCAGTAATATCACTCACTTTAACTTCCCGAATCGAATCCTCGCGCACGTGGTCACGGTAAAGAATAATGATGATTATTTTTTTTTTTTTCTTGTTCCCAACAGGAAAAAAGAGAATCGAGTGTTCCGCCACCATGGCAGCATACAGGTGGTGAATTGCCACTTTTAGCAAAATCGCCTAGTTCGCCTGCTTTATCTCTTCCGAAAGCTCCCAATCCGACGGTGACTCTTCTTCAAAAAGCCAGAGGTTTGTTTCTTCTTTTTTTGCTAAATGACAAACGTCGAAGGACACACACACACGGCGGGGGGGGGTCGATGGGGATAGTTACAAACGATTCGCGAACAATCTCCTCTCACAGGAGGAGGATCAATGATAATATTTTTTTGTCGTTTACATATCGTTAAAAATTCCATAGATTAAATAAATAAAAAGGAAAACACGCACGATTTTAAAAAAAAATTTTAAAAAACCCAATTGAAAACATTCAAAAAATGCTTGTTTAGTTCTTTTTAGAAGCACGATGCCACACTTTGCACTTTTTCTTTACAGAGGGTCGTTTGCCTCGGGGAGCTCATTATCTCAACAGTGAAATGAATGAGTTTCCTATTTCCAACGAATCCGGAATCGAAAGGCTTGAAATAGGTAAGAAGAATTATTATTATTATTATTATTATTATTTTTCATCATCATCATAATAATAATAATCGTTGTCGTCGTTGTCGTCGTCGTCATCACGTCATTATAATCATCATCATCGATGTGATTTTTCCTCTCTCTTCCTTCTCTTCCCTCTCTCTCTTTCTTCGCTCTATCCCATTGATTCTTGATCACTTTTCCAAACGGTCAGTTTTCTTTTTTTATAATTTTACTTTTATTTAATTTTCTTTTTTTGTTTTTTTTTTTTTTTTTTTTGTAGTATCATTGACGAAAAGCGAATCGGATCGACCGCGAAAAGTTGAAGTTTCGCCAAAGAAAATTATTGGAATCGGTCCCACAACCAAAGAAGGAGTTCCATTAGTCCTTAGATCGGTAAATAATTTTCTTTTCTTTTCTTTGATGAATTATTTTTGATATCGAATTCGCGTTTGTTTTTTGAGTCATTATTATTATTATTTATTATTTTTGTTCCTGGGGAACGAATCGAACGGGAATTTTTCCCTCCACGATTAATTTCGTGCGAACGTGTCACGATCGATCGAAGTTTTTAATTACACGCGAGAAAAAAAAAAACAATTAAAAAAGTTGAAATTTTTTTTTATATCGAATAAACTACTACCAACAACAACAATTATAATTCACTCCCACAGGAATTTTTTTTTCCTCGATGTTGATTTAACAAACGTCCTTCGTTTCAATTACATTTTCCTTTTCGCGTCATTGTATAATTATTATTATTATTATTAATACCATCATCATTAAATTGTTTTTTTTTTTTTTTTTCGTTAGGAACTGACAGACGAAAATAGAGAAAAATGGTACAAGCGAATGTACGACTCGTTGCACAAACAAGGAAATGATGGTGAGTGCGTAATATTAAAAAAAAAAAAAAATTATGGACGGGGAATCCCCGCGTTAAGAAGGAGTAGCTTTATTTCGATAGAGAATCCGTTCGTACGTTCGTCGAAACGTTCGAATTGATCGTTATTTTTTTTGTTTTCAGAAGATTATGTAACAGTCAAATATCGAACTAGTCCGAGTCGTAAAGGTTTGTTTGTAGAGTAGTTATGTGTTTGTTTGTTTGTTGCGTTCGTCATAATCGTCGTGTCGTTAGCTTTTCTAACAATGCGTTTGTTTCAATCACTCGAGACGAAAATAATAATAATAATAACGGCAAAATAAAATTTGTTAGTTAGAAATTGTTGTTTGTGATATATAACTCTCATCACCTTTTGACCCCGCCCCTCCCTCCCCTTTAAATCTCAAAGATTGAAATAAAATTCCCTTTTGATAATAATAACTGTAAATATTATTATTATTATTGTTTTGCCGCGAACGGTTTTCACCGTCTATTATTAATTAAACTTGTACATTTTACCTTTTATGTTTCCGTGAATTCAATTATCATCATCATCATCATCGTTCATGATGATCCTGTCGCCTCGTCGTTATCATTATTATCATCTCCTTATATTATCCGTGAAAATTGTGAAATGTTTGTCACGTGGTATCCCACGTGGCATTTAAAAAGCTTTGTCGATTGCGTTGCCTGAAATGATTAAAAATGCACGTTCGTATGAGATGATAATAATAGTAGTAGCAGTAGTGTTTGTAGTAGGTTGTAGTGAGTGTTGTAAAATCGAGAACCGTTTGTGAATCATTTTTGCCGTGAAACAAAAAAAAAAACAGTTTTGTCGATGTTTGTTTGTTTTTGTGTTTGTTTGCTTTTTCTCGTGCGTTTGTTTATTAATTCGTTTGAAAACGCTGTCGTCATTGACGTTCGTTTGTATGTATTTAACAGGTATATTTGATTATCGTCACGGTTCAAGTAGCGGATATCAATCTGAACCCGAATCATTAACCTACGATTTGTCAACGAACAGATATGTCACATTAGATAGAAGACGAGCAGAGCCGGCCACAACAAGTTCAATATCGGTCACATTACCCAGATCGTGAGTAATCAAACAAACAAACAAACAAACAAACGAACAAACGCAAATTTTAAAAAAATTGTTAAAATTTCGTAATTTTCTAATGTTTCAGACGGGAATCTCCTCCTAGACGTGATTTAGGAACGTATAAAAATCAACCGGGACGTATTGAGGATTACGAACCTGGACATTCTTCCATTAGCGAATTAGAAGCTAACAAGGTTAGTAGAAGCTAAAAAAAAAAATTTATTTTTTTAGAGTACCCCCTCCCCTCCCCTCCCCAAAAAAATAATTTTTTTTTAACTTCCCGAATCGAGCTTTTTTCTTATTCTTTCGCTTTACTAACCGACAGCAAATAAAAAACCGTCGTTGATGACGTAATTCATACGTCACAGGTATATGAAGAAGAAAAAGGGCGCGAACAAATGAAATAATTGAAATCGGGTCGCGTTCGGGACACATAAAATAATAATAATAATAATTTATTTTTCAATTTTGCAAAATTGAATAAATTGCTTTTCCTTTTGTCATTAAAAAAAAAAAAAAAAATTCATTATTATTATTATTATCCCAACCCAATTTTTTTTTTTTTTTTTAATTAAAATCAATGAACCGGAGCAAAATTAAAAAAAAAAAAAAAAAAAAAAAAATCGTCTGCCGTCGCATTTCGATATTAAAAACAAGAATCGATTAAATACTACAAAAATCAAAATATATCGAATTTAACTACGAATTCGCGAAAACGGAAGTCACGTACACGTACATTCCTTAATAATTTACTAGAAATTGTCATTTCCGGTTTGTTTTCCTTCTTCTTCTTCTTCTGTTCTTTCGCTTGACAATAATATTTTAATTTTTGTTTTTTTTTTTTTTTCTCTCTCTCTCTCTTGTAGTGGTGGGACGAAGTTTTGGAAATTTTTGACAGGGTACGATAATATTTTTTTTCTTTTTCTTTTGTTTTGTTTTTTTAATGTCGTCGTCGTCGTTTGTTGTTGTTGTTTTTGTTGTTGTTGTTTTGACCCACAAACATAATTTTTATCCGTAAAATATTTTTGTTGTGATTTTCTTTAAAAAACAAACTAATAATAATAATAATAATATGATTTTCGTTTTTATTTTTTATCGCCCGTATGTGTTTACCCCACGTGCATGTTTGTAAAATTTTTGATACAATAATAATAATAATAATAATTGTTTTTAATTATTTACTTTAAACACGCGTGTGTTGAAAAAAAAAAAAAATTAGTGGACGTATCGGAATTCGGATGCTAAAAGTCTTCCCGTTTTTAATAGTCTAAGGAAAGATTTCGTACAATATAGAAGAGTAAGAAAATCATTAATTTTTTCCTTTTTTTTTTTTTTTTGTAGTTTGGTATGCGTGTTGAAAAAAAAAAATTAAATTATTGTGGTAGCACTGCTTTGTTTTTTGTTTTTTTTTTTTTTTGTCTTAATCGAGTGCTTTGTGTTACCGTATCGGTTTTTTTTTTTCGTTTAGTTTTTTAAAATGTTTTTAATTAATTTTACAGGGAGAAGAAGATAAAACACGTCCGGCATACAAAACTCAATCTTCCCGATCATTTACGAATTAGTAAGTATTTACGCAACGTGACGAACGTGGGGAAACGAAACGAAAAAATTGTTTTTCGTTCTTTCTTTTTTTTTCTAGCGCTTCGGGATACGCGAGCGATCCTCAATTTGTTTACAAAAGAACGGAAGACGATTTACAAAGTCCTCCAAGTTCTGAAGAACAAAAAGAAGCGTATAGAATAATTCAAAAAGGCGGTGAAATACCATTGAAAGGCCTTAGAAAACCCGCGCCGGAAAGACCCAAAGGTAAGTCGGTAAATATTATATCAATCGTTATTATTATTATTTTTCACTTTTCTTTTTCTTTTCGTACGCGAAAAACTTTTGACGGAAAAATATCCTTTTTTAAAGCGATCGAAATGATTTTGCTGCTGACACGTCTATCATTTTCCCGCGAAAAATTTTTTCGAATTCATTATTAAAACCTTCTCGCGTTCGGGTAAAATCAAGCACAAGCACACGCGGCGAAATTTTAAATATTTTCCGTCCCACGGCCCCCCTTCCCTTCGGGTGATTCGCACCCCCCTAATTTACGCGATAAACTTAAGTATTATTATTATTATTTATTTTTTAATTATTCTTATTTCACGTTCACACGACATATTTTAAATTTATTTATTCACTAAACGGTTGTAATATTAGTTAGTTTGTGTGCACAATTTTTTTGCACAAATTTAATCGTGGCACAAATTTTATTATTATTATTATTATTATTATTATGAAGGAGCACGCGAGGTTCGAACTTTTTTTTTTTCTTTTTTGTTTTGTTCTTTAATTTTGCAGACACGGAAATTGAATATTTTCCATTATCGTCAACTTTGACAAGAATTCGAGTACACAGACAAAATATTACTCCGTTAAGTGAATTTCCATTTTGTTTGCATCCATTGATTAAAAATAAAACCACGTTGAATTACTCGGCGTTCCCATTCGGAGTGTGCAGCTCCTTTTCACAAATTCATATATTTCCACCTGTTCCTCCTCCTCTTCCTCTTCCTATTCCTCCTTCTGGTTCACAAGCACAATACGTCGCATCTTCTTTTCCACGACAACCGCCTCCTCCTCCTTTTCCTCCTCCTTCTTCTTCTTCGACTACGTCGGTTGATGATAAAAACTCGGAAAGAGGTCAGAAATTTTCGGTTCAACTTCAAAATATATCCGATCATAAAAATTACATTCAAATAGTACCGAAACCGAGGAGCTGTTCGAAAAAAACTCCGATTTACGTTAATTTACCCGTTAGAAGAAATTGTTCGCCGTCGGTGAAAAAATTTACGGGGGGGGATTCGATTTCGTGTGAGATTTTGTCCGAGTCGAAAACCGATACCGAAAAAAAAACAGATTTGGAATCATCAGGTGCGATCGGAGGAAATAACATAAGCGAACCCGTGGAAAAAACCCAAAACCGAAAGGAAAATTCCGTTGGTTTAAAATCATCCGTAGGAAAACCGGAAAAGGAAAAGTGTACGAACGGGAAAAAAAAATCTCAGGTAATTAAAAGTTCGGAAGGGGAAAAAAAGAGAAAAAAATTTCTCAAAACTATTATTATTAATCAAGAAGAAAGGAAAATAAAAAAAGTCGGAAAGAAAACCGGAGTTTTCAATCTCGCGGAAAACGTTCAAAAAGAAAAAAAGAAAAAATTAGTTACGGTGAAAAAAAATAAACGTGAAAAAAATTTTCCGGAACTCGGTTCGCGAGAGGAAAAAGTTAAAAAATCATCGAGTTTGAAAAGAGACGAAGTTGAAAGTCTAAAGTCTGGAGAAGATTTTACGGAAAAAGAAGCGGAGAAAAAATTGAAAAAAAAAGTTCCAGTCGTTCATTTCGCTGGAGAGACGGACAAAGGAAACGATAACTTAATCACCATGAGTCCGATCGATAAAATATCAGAAACGGACTCCAAATCGAAAGTGATCGAGTCCGACATGACGGAAGTTTTCCGAAGCAGAAGTTTTTCACCGGATGTGCGAAGGAAAATTTTCAAATTGCCCGACATGAACAAACCGATGCCGCCGAAAAGAAAACAATCGAAAAATCGTCAAACTTTAAAAATGTTGTCGAAAATGAAAGTGACGTATCCGTGTCATCACAGATCCCGACTCGACGAATTCGGTTCGAACGTTAAATTTCTCCAGGATAAGATAAAGAGGAAATTCAAGGACGACATCGACTACATAAAACCCGAATTCGGTGACGACGTCGAAACCGTGAGAACGATTAAGAGGAACAAAAACGGAGAGATGAGCATTCACACGGATAGATACGTAAGACTAGGAGGAAAAACGTGTGCGGGATTGTCTCCCTTCAGAGCAACGTATCCGGATATAGGTCGCCGTAGCCGATTGATTTCCGGAATTCGTTCCAAACAGGAAGGACCTTACAAGTCTCCGAGATCGAGCAGCACTCCGTCGTTGAGCAAGACACCGTATTTTCCAATGACCGAGTCGAGATATTCTCCGAGTAGGGAAAGATTACCACGTAACGCACCGCAAAAAGAAAATTCGTCCTTGAAAAAGAGCACCGTGTCGAAAAGTTCATCTTCGCCATGTCCATCCGTCAGCAGTTACAAAAGTGGAAAATCCGGTAAGAGCCCAATATCGGATAAAGGAAGTAATTCGTCTCTGGAAAAAAATCAATTTCATTCCTCCAGAACTTTTTCACCCGTTTCTTCAGCAAGTCGAGTCTCCAGCCCGAGATCTCCATCTCCCGGATTATACAACGTCAAAAGAAAAACTCAAAAATTGACGAATTCGGATGTTGTTAAAACGATCGCTAAAAAACCCGTCGCTACCGATAAACCATCCCTTCAAAAGTGCAGCATCACGAAATCGGTGGTCAAACCGAAAGAAATAACATCGAATGGGAAAACCGGTGGGAAAAAGTTGGTGACGCCGTTGAAAAAAGGAAAAACCGTTAAGAAGGAAATCAACGAGGATAAGAAAGTGAAAAAAATGACGAGCAAGTCGCGAGTATCACCCGACGGTGGAGAAAAGGAAAAAAAAATTTTGATACGTGAAAAACCTCCAGAACGTTACGTATCGATGACGGTTAAAAAGGAAAAAAATGAAATCGCCGAAGGTCGGGATCTCGTTAGAACGGATTCTTTTTTTCAAAATTTGTTTTTACGAAGATCCCCGGAAAGGAAATCAGGTATCGATTACGAAAAAATTTCATCCGTTTTGGAACGTGCGAGAATGTATCAGAGAAGAATCAATTGGCCGGAAACGTACAAATCGGAACCTTCTCTGTCTTTGGTCACGTATTATCTCAATCAAAAACGTCCAGTTTCCTTTTCAAAATTCAAACGTTTGGATCGGGATTACGATCCGTATAGACTTCACAGTCCCTTGGGAAGTTTTCACTCGGAAAATTTTCAAACGAAACTCAGGAGATTCGATTCGTTAAGTCAATTCGACGAAAGTTCCCGAAGGGGTTTTAGTCCGGAGGGTAAGGAAAGGAGTTCTAGCGAGCCTCCCTTTTACAGATCCGGTTCGAACACGCCGGAAGATGATCGTAAACGGAAACAATTGAGAGATTCACAAAGCGAAATCAGTTCTATTAGATCCTCTCCGACTTCGTCTCGCTCTCCCTCTTGCAGGAGAATAAGGAGTCAAAAAATTTTGAACGGGCAAAAATTATTGGGTCGAGCTAAAAGCGCCGGAGAACTCGAAAACGATGAAAAGACGAAAACGACGAGCGATTTGACACGAAGTACGAGTTCGTTGAATTTGAGCAACGTGAGCGATCACACGGAATATCAGGCCTACGTTCTCGAACTCATGCATTCCTCTCGAAAGTGTAAAAGGTTTCGAGAACTTCATAAATTTTATTCGAACCTTGAAAAAATGGAAGAATTGGAAAAAACAGCTTCGACGGGTGATTTGAGACCGCGTTTCAGAAACGAAGAAATAATCGATTTCGACCGTTGGAAAAAAGTTCGTACGAAAGAACGAGCCGAAGCCGAACTCAAAACATTGGTTGAAAACCTGTTCAAAGTACAAAAGGAAAAAGATTTGCTGTTCAGAGCGACGGACGTCGAAGCCGTTCGCTGGAAAGGTGACAGAGGATTAAGAATCAAAGAAAGATCCGTGGAAGATTTAAAAGAACAATTTAATAAATTTGCTTTCGAAGAATTGGAATCGGAGATTTGGAAACAAGATTTCGACGTGCAGAAAGACAATTACAAATCTCTTTGGAAAGGAAATTCCGTCGTTGACGTGGCAAAAAATTTAAACAACACGTCGGCATCTTATCGCGGAAGACCTTTGACCCTGGAAGATTTGGAAAAAATTGAAAAAACGAACGCGAGAATCGGAAAAGAATACGGTTACAGTCTCAAAGCGTGGAGCAGTTTGTCCAACGAGCAAATTAATTTTCTAAAGGATCAATTGAACGACATATACGGTCAAGATTTAAGACGGAAAGGTTTGAGCGGAAGTACGGATAATTTCGCGGACAAGTACGAAGTGTGCGTACCTAAAAACAGTAAGATAAAATCACCCGGAGAGGGTCCGTTGCAAGTTCGTTGCAGTTCGGCCATGTCAAAGAGCAACACTTTGACTCCGACGATAAAACGAAAGGAAAGCATGCAAAAAGAATGGAAAAAAGCGGATTCGATAAGTGCACTTCCGGTATTGGTGAAAAGCGAAAACGAAAATGGAAACTTGTTACAACTTCCGTGGAAAGAAGATGTGGGAGGATCATCGAAATACGGGAGGAGTTTTTCGGAAACTCGTCATCCGAAAGAGGATCATCGTTACGCGAGTCAAAGGTCAAAGTCAGCGTCGTCGCAACCTTTGTCCGAAGATGAAAAAAAACAATTGTCGATGACTCTTAGTCGCGAGATTATCGAAAAAATGTCCAAGAGTCCTGGAAAAGGTCCGATTTTGCCGAGGGAAACGTTGGGAGCTTTAGCGGCGGCGAGCGGTAAACTTTACGAGTTGAATAAAGATTATGAAATGAATTACATTCCAGAAAATCGAATGGAGGAACCGGAAACAGGTAACGAGTCATTAAAATCGAAATTCGTTATTCCAGTCAAATATAAAAAATCATTTGTTTCCGAACCGGAATCGGGAAGCGGAAGTTCGGAAACTTCCGTCAAAACGGTAATTAGAAAAAATTCTATCGACGTGTCGCAAAAAGTTCAATATTTTGAAGATTTGCGACAAAGCAACGAGGATTTTGATAAAATGGATTCTAAAAATTTTCCGAAAGTTGAGTACGAACCGGAAATTTACAAAACTACCGCCAATAAAAAGAAAAAATCAATTTTAATGCCTTCTTCTTCTCTGGAAAATTTAAACGATTATTTCGGTCATCAAAAACAGTATGCGACGACGTCTCCCGTTCACCTTTCCAAAACGTCAAACGAGGGTACGAAAGGCGTGATGACGTCAGTTCCGGTAAAACCCGAAGATGTACGAAGTGGGAAAAATATCATCGACGATGGAAAATTCATACCCGTTCGATATAATTTATCATCAAGTCCGGTCAATTATAAATATCTTCCGAGCGTGAGCAGCAATGAAAGTTTGTTTTCCTACAGATCGAGAAGCGTGAGTCCGGACCCCACAAAATACTACAGAGCGTATTTAAAAATGGTAAAATGCGGAGCAGTGAGAAAACTCTGCAACAAGTTCGAAAGTTGGGAAGATTTGTTGTCTCTGTCGTCGGATAAAGATTTCTGGTTGCCGCCGGCTCCTAGAAGATTCGCAAGCGATCCCGAACTCACCCGCGACATGCTTCGACGATTCGGTACGGATCCTTCGAAAGTAACCGTGAGAGGACAAGAAGTCGGTGACGTGAGATGGTTGAGAACGAAATTCGAAAAAGAAGTTCCACATTCCTCGAGAGGTAGAAGTAGGGTTCGTAGAGTTCGTAGTCCTCTCGCAAGAAGTCCCATCACCGTCAACGATCGTTACATGCCGAGAATAAACGTCATATCAAAAAAGGCGGAATTGCAGCTGCAAGGATTAGACGGGAAAAATTCAATTTCGCCGTCTCGGATGCACGAACTTCCGGCCTCCCCGGAAAATTACAAATCCCTAATCGATTACACGAAAGATCACGGGGGATATTATTTTTCCGGAGAAGTTGAAAAATTAAAGAGAAAATTCGAAAGGCTTCAAGACGCGGAAAGATTGTCCATATTGGGACAAATGTACACGAGCACTCCCGACGTGAACGAACTCCGAAACATCGCGCCGTACCTGGAATGTTCTTGGGTCGCTCACAGGTACCCGGGCGGACCGACATCTCCCGAACCGGAAGTTGTTAAAAAGCGCGAAATGTCAAAATCGAAATCCCAAGTCAAACCTCGACCTCATTCCTCATCTCCCATAAGGACTAAAAAACCTTTGTCCATATTGAAACCCTCCTCATCCTCATCCGTCGACCGGAGCATATTCGCCGATCAAAAATTCGATCCGACGATTCATCGTCCAAAATATAGGTACCAACCCGAACGCGAAGTTGATAGAAGATGCAAACGAAACGAATCGGATCGGTGGTGTACCTGGAATAAGCCTACCGTTACATTCAAAGGTTTTTATTTATTTATATGTTGTCGTCAGGTGATGGAATTCCGTTACGTCGGTCACATAATCAAATGAGCATCACGTTCGCACGTTCGCAAACAAATTATCGTCACTTTTTTTTTTTTTGTTTTGTCACTCCTCCCCTTGCCACCCTCACCCTCCACCCCCCCCGACAACAAATTTTCAAACACGCTTTAAATAAAATAATTTGTAATTATTTTTCGTAGAAAACGTCAGCACCAATTTTGAACCTGAAATCCGCGAAGTGAGTCCAGGTTTGTATCTCAACGCCGTGCGTTTGTACACACACACATACATACACTCAAACAGTTTTTTTCGGTTGTTTTTAAATAAAAACAAAACAATAACAATTAATTCAATTTTCTGGGAGTTTTCATTTTCTATGCTCTTTTAACCTCTCTATGATTCCGGAAATGAGAAGCATTATTTTTGTGATGAATCACAAAGTTTTATTTGAATAACTACTAAAGTTTTTTTTTTTTTAATTGATTTTGTACCTTTTGTTACTTCCGGCAAAATAATTAATGATGATGATGATGATGATGATGATCTAACATTTTAACGTCACTACGAATTATGCTTTACACTACTACTACATAAATTACTCACTGTCACGATTTTTTTTCTTTTTTCCTCCTACTCCTCCTTCAAACGAGCTTTGATTGGAAAAATTGCGATAATGAAAAATTCTCTCTCAGCATTTGTGTGCGTTTGTGAAATGAAAGAGAGATTTTTTTTTTGCTCGATGCGTGACACGTCAAAAATTAAAACATAAAAATTGCGGCAAGTCACGCAATAGTCGATCCGATCGTTATTATTATTATCATTAATTTTTCTCGTAGATTCGCCTAGGAAATACGTGGAATCCGAAGTTACCATACATTACAAGAGTCCCGTAAGATCCGAAGCGAAGGTCATGCTGTCGGAAGACGAACTGGCGAGACGTCAGGCGGAATCGATGAAACGAATTTACAAAGAAGAAAGGAGAAGAAAATATTTGCAGGTACGTTTCTTTGTAAAAACAACAAACAAACAAACAAAACTACAGCACGGTTTTCACTTTCAGGAATTGCAAGACATGAACAGCAGAAGACACACGGATAATTTCATACCGTCGCAAAAAAGTCCAATACCGTTGAACAGATACGACGATTTTCCGCTGGAATACAATTTCCAGTATTCGAAAGACAAAGATAGTTCCGTGGATCCGGATCTTGTCGCGAGAGGCTTGTATGATTTCGAAGGAAGGCGACCCAGGTATTCTAAAGTTTCAGGTTTGATCTTCATCGAAATATTTTTTACCGTCGGTATTTTTTTCTTATTTTCGAATCAGAGAACTGGCTTTCCGTCGGGGTGACATCATATACATAATGAGAAGATTGGATAAGAATTGGTGCGAAGGTGTCTTGCTCGATGGAACCATGGGATTATTTCCGCTGAGCTACGTCGAAGTGATTCCTTATCACGAAATAATGAAATACGGTCGTGCAAGAGCCAAGTACGATTTTGTACCTCAAACATCATTAGAACTTCCGGCTCGGAAAGGTTTGTGACAGTACAAAAAAAAAAAAAAAGTCATCTATCAGAACGTCGTAAGAAAATAAAATTCATTTTAAATTTATTTAGGCGACATAATAACGCTGACGCGAAAAATAGACGAAAATTGGTTCGAAGGAAAAATCGGTAACAGAACGGGAATAATACCGGCTTCGTACTGTCACGTATTGGTCACGCCACACGTTAACGTCAACACGCAAATCCGTTCTGAAAAGGTCAACAAGCCCGTCGCTGCTCCTGCGGCTCATTCACTCATACACGACGGAAGTGGCCTTTCTTCGAAACATTATTATGCTCCTTACGTGAGCAGTCCGAATTCTCCGGGTCGATCGACCGTGTCGTCAGCTTCAGTCAACTATCACGACAATCACGTCAACGCTGACATGCTCATCGACGAAGCCCTCATGCAATTAGACGAAGAATTCGATTTGAAACGTTCGAATGTAAAATCTGCAACGCAACCGCTTAACGTTCGCGTTAATCCGAGGCCCGAACCCGCATTGTAAGTTCTTATCCCTACTCGACGAATTCCCCTCTCCTCCTCCCCGAATTAATCAAACGGTTTTTTTTTTTTTCAGGTATCAGGTACTCTTCAACCACGTACCGAATAACGACGACGAGTTGGAACTTTTACAAGGAGAAACCGTGACGGTTATTGAAAAATGCGGAGACGGTTGGTACATCGGAAGTAAAACGAGCGATGGAAAATTGGGAATTTTCCCAGGGACCCACGTTCGACGCATCGCACCTGAATTCGTTTAAAATGTAAAAATTGTTAGAAGGCGGTGGGGGAGTGGCGAGGTGGCGCGGCGACGGCGGTAACCACGACGACAGTGCCTATTAACGAGCTTTAAATATTAAATTAATTTATTTTATCCTTTTTTCTTATGTTTTAAATCCATTATTTGCTTGTTTTATTAGTTACAAAGTTTAACGTTAGGTAGCAGCAGCTGTCAAGCGAAAATTATCCTTTTTTTTTCATCATTATTAATCAACGTTTTTTTTCTTTTTTTTTTTTCTTCAGTTAATTTTAAGCACATTTTTTTTAGTTTATTGAGTTCGTAACATCACATTTAGAAAACGTTTTTTTTTTTTTTTTAATGGTAAACAACGTGTTTTACCTATTCGATTTCCCTAATTTTAACCTAAACTCGTTTACGAGGGAAATGCTTGTATTTATACATCACATATAAAAGCATAAAAAATATTTAAAATTTTTCTTTTTAAGTCTTACAAAAACACGAAAAAAAAACTAAAAAAAAAAAAAAAGTTTATGAATTATATTTTTAACAAACTAAAACACTCACCTGTTTTTTTAATTAAAATAACTAGTCTAGGCGTTTTTGTGTCGCATTATGAATAATATACAAATTAAATATTACGTTATGTATTATTGTTTAATTTTTTTTTTTTTTAATAAAACCACCGAAATTATATTTAAAAACACGAATACGAATTTAAAAAGGAAATAAAAAACTATTTTATCGTTGAGAAAAATTAATTTTTTAATTTAAATAACGTTAATTTGACACGAGAAAACAAAATGAAAAAAAAATTACATACTCATACTGTGTTGTATGATACTTTACACATAGTAATAATGTTCTTTTTCGGTTATTTTCAAAATTTTAATTACAAATATTTCCGTTCGTTAGTGCTAACGATTGGAGCGCTAGTGTCGTAATTTTACCCGTTAGTCACTAATTAATTTTGTCAAAAATCCTTTTAATTATTATAATATTGTCACGTTTTAAAGTATATCGATATAAAGAAACAATATAAAATTGAATAATGATAATGAAAAAACAAAAATCTCGACGAGTTAACCGTAATTTCTTAACGAATACATTAAAAAATTTGTTAAACGGATTTAGAGTGAATGCAACAATTAAATAAATTTCGCTTATATTTACCATACGTATAAAGCAATCAATCCGCCATATTGTTAATTCTTTCGAGAACCTTCTCTTTGGAAAGAACAAACATTTTCACTTTTTTTTTTTTACTTTAAATAATACACACTATGATAAATTTTACTGTAAAATATTAACGAACGACACAACGCGTGTACACGTGTGTTATTTTAAATATAATTAATCAAAAAACGCGACCGTTAAAATTTTTTTTCTTTTTTCTTTTAATTATTACTTAATCGCTTGGTAACAACTCACGAACACTACTACACTAGCGCTACAACCGTTAAAAAAATTACCTGGCGGAAATATTTGTAACTAAAAAAAATGACGTCACAATTGTCCGCCATAATTATACATTATTATAGTTTTCACAAAACCAAAAAAAAAAAAAAATGTAACAATCAATCAAATTTATATATAAATTTTTTAATATATATATATATATTATTAAAATTTAATTTCCCTTAAATAATTAATTAAAGGAATACAATATAAATAAATATACGTTTAATCTAATCGGGAGGATTGTCTAACAACAGCCATTTGTAGTAATTACAATTAATATTATTATTATTTTTTATCATTATATATATATATAAATTTTATAATATATATTATTTGGTATAAACGTATAATTTAATATATATAAATTTTTCAAAAATTAAATATTTATCATTAATTACATTTGAATTAAATAAACATACACCTTACACGGACATGAATAAAATTTTCATTAATAATAATAATAATATACAATATATATGTGAGAAATTACCAGTCGATAGAATCATATATATATATATATATTATAAATAATATATTATTTATAAATTTTTAATTCTACGCAGTCTAGATAATAATAATAATAATAAAATTTTTACATTCATTCAAACTCATACACAAAAAAAAGACACGACGATAATAATAATAATAATTAAATAAAAACAACAACAACAACAATGGTAACATCAACAATATTATATAATTTATTATTATTTTCATTATCATCGTGATAAATAATAATAATAATAATAATAATAATAATAATAATAATAATAATAATAATAATAATTTTTATTATTTATCTCGTAATTATACGTAAAGTATATATATCAGAAGTTCATCAACATTAAAAATAAAATTTTTTTTATATAAACAAACAATCAAACAAACAAACAAACACCAACAAGTGTTATCGATATCATTAAATTTTTTTTTTAATATTAAAAATTATATATTATTATTATTATTATCATTATTAATTAATTTATTTATTTATTATTTTCTTTGTGAAAATGTACTGAACGTTTTTTTTTTAATCTTTCCTTATGAAAAATTCATTTTGGAATTTTAATTATTATTATTATTATTATTATTATTATCATTCGATTCGGATCGTAATAATTTTTTCTACAGAATGTTCTAGAAAAAAAAGAAATTTTATATTTTAAAATACGAACGATGAAAAATCGGAAAATTTGTCAAAGTTTTCGTATTTTGTTTTTCATCGATTTTAATTATCATTATCATTATTATTATTATTATTATCGGTCGGTGTTGGAGAAAAGGTTCGTCTGTGTGGTATTTTAGTTAACTTAATTATTTCGGTTGAAAACGTAACCGAGAGAGAGAGAGAGAGAAAGAGAGACAGAGAGATGTTGTGTTATTAAATTGATAATGATGATTTCCTATGTCGTAGAACATAAAATTTTTTTTTTTTCAATACCGTGGGGAGGGGGTTGGGGGTTTGTCGATTTGATTAATTAAAATTATTATTTATTTATTTAATGTCGGGAAAAACGAATAAATAAATTATTAATATTAAAAATAAATAAATAAATAAAATTTTTAAAAAACTTACAGGAAATCGATGATTAATTATTAATAATTTTTCATCGTTTGAAGGGGGAAAAACAAAAATGTAAATGAGAGAGAGAGAGAGAGAGTGAGTGAGGGGGGTAGGGAAAAGTGTAGGGGGAAAAGAGATGAAAAATAGTTGAAAAATGGGAAAAAGTTTAGGAGTTTAACCAATAAAAAATGTGGAGGGGGATGGGTGGGTAAAAAAAATGAACGAATGAGAACGAGAAGGGGGCGGAGAAATGAGGGGAGGGGAAGGGAAGGGGAATTTCTCATCGTGATTTCCCCCCCCCCCCATTCTATTGTTTCATGCAATTTTTATTATAAAAAAAAAAAAAAATTCCGAAAAGTCGTCTGATTAAATTTAAAACTTTAAGAAGATTCCAATTTTTTCCATCATCATCATCACCATCATTATTATTATTATTATTTGTAATCGAAAATTTTTTTTGATTTTTCCATCCGGGACTGGAGAAAAAAAAATATTCTGGAATGGTTTTTGTTTCCCTACACATGGATTATAGTAATGGCGAGAATTCAAATCTCGTTTTTTCTCCATGGATTTTGTCATTATTATTATTATTATTATTATTATTATTATTATTATTATTATTATTATTATTTAAATTACTATTATCATTATTATTTTAAAACTGGAATCGTGTAAAATTCAAACTTGATAGCCTGGAGAAAAAAAAAAAACAAAAAAGAAATTCCAGTTTCCTTTTATCGATTTTTTTTTTGTTTTTGTATCCAAAAGCAGAAGACTTTTTTGTTTGTTTTGTTTGTTTGTTTTGAACTATTAATAATAATAATAATAATGATTCAGTACAAATTCGACAAAGAAAAAATTTACATTCATTTAACGAATAAATCTTTTAACGTCGAACAAATTGATGTATCACAAGTTTCCGTTGCGGATTCTGTATTGGCACCACTGCCATCACCACCACCGGAAGTTTCTTTATCAGAATTGAACCAACTTTTAGATGGCGGTGTCGTGGCGGGATTAGTTATCGTTTCTTTTACTTGTACTGGAGATTTTGTTATCGGCGAAGTCGGTTGTTCGTTATTATTACTTGTTTTCTTATTTAAAAAAACTTCAATAGCACTTCCTATCAAATGTGGATCTACAAGGGATCCACTACGATTGTCCCAAACGACTTGATTTACTCTATCCTGATTACTACTTCCTGTCGACGTGGTCGTAGACGATGATGATGATGATGATTTTTTACTATCGTTTAATTTAAATGATTTTGTTCTTTCCGGTTGTTTATTAACCAAACTCGTGTGTACTTTTTGTTTTTCATCGGTGAACGTGACTAATATTTGACTTTTTTCTTTTTCCACGTCTCCTTTTTTCGCTATGGGTTGATGTCTTTTAACAAACCAACTTGCCGGACCCAATATGGTACCGGGTGACGAACCCACGTCGAAACTATTCGATCTATCTTTAAATAATTTCCTTTTTTTATCCAATATGGTTTTTTGTTGCGTAGTTGGCGATCCTGTATTTGGATTTGTTATCAATGTCGGAACATCTTTTTCACCAATTCCACATATCTCTTGAGCAGAAGACGTCAACGGTGACATAATCGATATTAAATCCGTATTTGTGCAAACGATTCCAGGACCCGGTGATCGTTTCGTCGAACCCGATCTCATCAAATTTGACAAATCCAAATCTTTTTTTTTACCATCTAAAGGTTTTGACGTCGTCGGTTTCAAAATGTCGGCCGACGAATCATTTTCCTCTTGGAAATCTTTACTTTGCGTCCGACTCATTTTTCTCCTTTCTTTCGCTTTCGCTTTTGCTTCCGTTATGTCATCCATTATATCTAAATGAAGGTTAAATGAACTTCCGCTACTATTTATACTCGTTAAAGATCCTCGGGTTTGACTTATGACAGAATCCCGACGAAGTGGTAAACCTGGTAATCCTATAATTCGTATATATACCTATAAACACTGCAAGAAAGGAATGATGATGATGATGATGATAGGATACATACCCGAACCAAAAGCAGCAATTGATTCTCTTCGATTTCGGCCAAACAGTGAAGGCAAATGAGGCGCTTTGGATATCGTGACAACCGAATGCCTTCTCGTACCTGGCATAGGAGTCGGTGCCTGTGACAACGTTGCCAAAAAAGCTTGCTCTATGGGAGTCGGACCAGATCCTTCTCCTCCTCTTTCCGATAATCTTCGAACCTGTAAAAAACACATTACAATTACTTTAACCGGAAATGATTGTTTTGCTCGCAACAACGCAACCGCATTACGTCGTTTCCGGTCAGATAAAAAGATTAAAAACCTTTGGAAAAAAAATTAGAAAAAGGTTTCTTTTTTATCCGAATGATAAAAAGGATTATAAAAGTCAAAAGGATAAAAAGGTTGAGAAAGGAAATCGTTTACTTACGCACTCGCAAACATTATTATTATTATTATTATTCTCCAGCAAAAAAAAAACTGGAAATTTTATCTTAATTAAAAACTCGAATCAATTCGAAACGTCGAGTTTATAATTACGATAATTTTTTTTTCTCCAGGTAATGTGCATGACGTCATTACAAATTTTTTTTTTTTTTTTTGGAGAATCGGAAAGTAAATTGAAAATGGCGTTAACTACAGAAGAAAAAAAAATTTACTGGATAAAAAAAAAATATAAAAACTGGAAAAATGTGTTTTCTGGAATGTCTTTTTATTTGATACATTGCTACGCGACCTTGTCAAAACAGTCGTCACGTGACTATGAATAATTTTTGTTTTTATATTTCGATTCAGGTTTCTAGGTCGAATACCGTTAAGGACGTTTACGCTTTAATAAATTTTTGCTCCAGTTTTTTATTATTATTATTATTATTTGGTTTTTTTAAGTGGTGAAAGTATAATCGTTTTGCCGGTTGTTTTTAGCTACGAGTGATAAGAGCCTTCGATAGCTCAGTTGGTAGAGCGGTGGACTGTAGTTGTTTAAATTCCAAATAGTTATCCATAGGTCGCTGGTTCAAATCCGGCTCGAAGGAAAAGTTTTTTTTTAGGTTTTTTTGTTTTAGTTAATTGATAAGGCCTTGGTTATGTGTATCGTTTTGTTTTCTTATCAGTACCTTCGATAGCTCAGTTGGTAGAGCGGTGGACTGTAGTTGGTACGTTTATAAGCGGATATCCATAGGTCGCTGGTTCAAATCCGGCTCGAAGGAAATAAATTTTTTTTTTTTTTTTTTTACGATTCAGGAAGGAAATTAAGGAAAATCGGGTTTGGGCGAGGTTTTGGTTGTTATCAGTACCTTCGATAGCTCAGTTGGTAGAGCGGTGGACTGTAGTTGGTATGATTATAAGCGGATATCCATAGGTCGCTGGTTCAAATCCGGCTCGAAGGAAAAAAATTTTTTTGTTTCATCTTACCTGACTTGCAGTTATACCGGAAGTACAAGATGGAGTCGGTAATGATCTTTTTCTCGTGTCTCGCCATGGCGTTAGTAAATATTGATTTATTGTTGATGTATCCGGTGGAGAGGATTTCGAATCATCTTCTTCTTCTTCTGCAATTCCATCACTTTCTTCTACCACGATCAAAGGTTCGTTAGGACCTCCACCGCTTGATATACCCGTGAATGATGCTCTTCTCATTATTATTAATCTTAAAAAAAAAAAACTCAAATATCAATAAAAAAAAAAAAAAAAACAATTAAAAAATTCATTAGAGACGTTTGGGGGAGGGGAAGAGGAAGGGGGAGAGGGAAAAAAGTAAAATTAATTTTTATTATTTTTCTTCCCGTCCTTTTTTTCCGATCCTGATGGGATTTAATGACATTTAAGATTTTTCCTCTAAGTACAAAAAAAATTTATCGATTTATTTTTTTTTAACCCTCCGCCCCCCACTCTCCCCCCACCTTTTTCCTGAATGTTTTCAAAATGAATTTTCAACATTTCAAACATTGTTAATAAAAAAAAAACAAGGAAAACTTTTCCTGTTGTTGTTGTTGTAGTTTGATGACGTAAGAGAACATTTTCGAAATTCTTACGCAAAAAAAATGATAATAATAATAATAATAATAATAATAATAATAATACTTTTTTTTTTAAATTAATGTTTACGATTTTTTGTGTATAAAAAAAAAAAAAAAATCAAACGATGTAAAAAAAATTATTTAAAATTTTCGTTCTAATTTCGCTTTTCAGACGGAAACCATATTGTCGTGTAAGAAGAAAAATGTGAATTTTTATACAAAACGGAATTTTCTAGAATATTTTTCATCATTTGTTAACTTTCCGCTTTTTCTCGCAACGGAATAATAAAACAAAATTTTGACGACGCATTATCAAAAATGTTATCAATTTAAAAAAAAAAAAAAAAAAAAAAAATGACGGGCGTAAGAAAAGTGCTGGAATTGGGGGGACGGGGGGTCAAAGGGAGAGACTGGAGGAAAAGGTTCGAAGGGAAATAATAAATTTAAAAAAAAAAAAAAATTATTCATTCGCCTTCGGGAAAATTTTATCATAAAAAAAAATTTTTTTTTTTTTTACGATTTTTTTTTCCAGGAAGCGCGATATAAACTTTTTTTTCGGTTGGTTAATTTTAACGAATAAGCAGACGACGAAAAAGCAGAAGACGGTAAAAAAAAAAAGGCAAAACAGTAAAATACAGCAATTAAAAACAATCCTACAGCATTTTTTTCTTTCTAAAACGAAAATTTCCCGTTGTCCGTTTGTTGTAAAAAAAAAAAAAAAAAGAAAGAAAGAAAAAAAGTTAAGGAATCGATTACGAGGAGCTTTTTCCGCTTCGGGGGGGGGAGACCAGGAGGGAATGGGAGAGTGGGGAAGGGAGGGGTGAGGGAAGGGGAGAGAGGAGAGAGGAGGGGAATGTTTAATAAAATTTTCTTTAAGAGTTTTAAAAAAAAATTTTTTTCCCTTTTTTCTCTCGGGAGGAAAAAAATTCTTTTTTTTTTTTTTACACAACTTTTATAAAAACTTTTTCACTTCCGTTTTGTTACGAACAATTTTAAAATCTGGATATTTTCTCCATGATAATTTCCAAAAATCTCGCGCTGGAAATTTTATAAAAAAACATTTTCCTTTCCTAATTTAAATCACGTTGAGTTTAAACATAAATTTAAACGTTTAACCTAATACGTGATAAAATACGCCATATTGTAACACAACAACTGGAGAAGAGAGAGAGAGAGGGGGGGGAGAAGGGATAGATAAGGAACCTGCGTTCCAGGTCAATGCGAGTAAAAATCTTTCTATCCAGATTAAAAATGGAAAATTACTAAGAAACAAAATAATAATAATAATAATAAGGTTAAATCGAATATTTTCTTTTTTTCACTGGAAAAGATTTTTATGGAGAAAAAAAGAAAAAAAAATTATTAAAAGGAAACTATTACTGGAATTTTAGAAATCCTTTTTATAATAATAATAATAATAAACTTTTTTTTTTTCTTACATTTAAGATGTAAAATTTACATTTTATTTTTCTCCAGTTTTTTCATTTTTATTTTTTAAAAAAACCGTTTTACACTGGAGAAAATAAAAAAAAAATTTCCAAATTTAATTTCATTCCAAAAAAAAATTTCGAATAAACGATAATAATAATAATAATAAATGATTTAATTTCCGGTTGTCCGATATCGGGAAAAATTATTGATTGTAAGTCAGTCAATCGGTCAAATCCCTGGAACATGAAAATTTTGGAGAAAATGCGTCGCGATTAACACCGGATTTTATAAAATACGTGACGTAATAATTACAATAATAATAATAATAATTGAAAAAAAATTAAATTTTTGTGAAATAAAAAAAAAAAAAAAAGAAAATGGGAAAAAAATTTTCCAGTAAAACGTTCATTATTGAAAAATCGGATAAATGTCTGGAATTAATATCGAATGATTTTTGGAAAAAGTATCCCCATCACCACCACCACATGCACGCGCACACCTACACAGGGTCCTTGTTTGTCTTTTTCGAAAGTTAAATTAATAATAATAATAATGATGATGATGATGATGATGTAATGGTATAAAATAATTTAAATTCTGTTGTACGTGATTATTATTATTTCCCTCCCTGGAGAAAAATATTTCGATAAAAAAAACTGACAAATCCAAAAAAAAAAAAAAAAGTTTTTATTTCGATGAAAATAATCCACACGTTTATTAAACGTCGTCTGCTGTTTTTATTTATTTAAAAAAAAAAAAAAAAATGGAAAAAACGACCTGGAGAAAAAATTATTATTATTATTACTTTTATACTACGTGCGGCCATTTTTCTTTTTATTATCTTTCATATTTTAGTTTATATGACTTTTTGACCGTTACTTGTTTTCCACTACCCTCCCTTTTCCCTAACTCTCCCTTCCTTCCTCCCGGCTCATCCTAAGTGTTGGAAATTCTCCAGGAGATAGAGGGAAGGGGGAAAGAAAAAAAAAATTTGCACCTATTAATCACGTTGGTCGTTATTATTATCATTATTATTTTTTAAAGAATAATAAATAATGGAAAAGCGTCACTTTCATCTGGATTTTTCCCTCTCCCCTTTCCCCCCTTTTTTAAATAATAATAATAATTTTAAAATGTCCGCCGAAGCACTTTTTTAAACTCGTTGAGTGTAACAAAAAAAAATTTTTTTTATATAAAAAGTTGTCAGTTATTTATGATAATTCATAAAAAAAAAAAAAAGTTGAAAGGATTCTTCTGCTAGAGAAAAGTAATGTTTAAATGTGAAAGATTTTTGGGATGTGAGGGAGATAAAAGCAAAGAGAGAGAGGGAGAGAGTGAGAGAAATGAAAAAAAATAGAAAGGAAAAAGGAAGAAAAGAAAAAAAAACAAGAAAGAAAAAGAGCGATTTGAAAAAAACAATGAGAGAGAGAGAGAGAGGGGTAGATAAAACGATAGAAGGAAAGAATAGAAAGAGATAAATAAAGAAGAGGAAAAAAAGAATAGAAAGAGATAGATAGAGAAATGGGAGAAAAGGGAAAAAAAGCAGAAAGAGAGGAAGGAAGAGATTAAGAAAAAAAATACAAAAAAAAAGGAGAGACGGAAAAAGTGAGGGAATGATAGGAAAAAAAATAGGGAAAGAGAGATAGAGGAATGAGGAAAAATAACGGAAAATGAGATAGTGAATGAGAGCGAAAAAAAGGAAGTAAAGGAAAAAAACACAAAAAGAGGAAGAGATTAAGAGAAAAAAAAACAGGAAGAAACTAAGAGAAAAAGAATGAGAGAGACGGGAAAACGTAAAGGAAAGAGAGAGAGAGAGAGAGAGAGACAGACAAAGTGAAAAAGAGCAAAAAGATAGTAAGAAGGAAGGAATAAATGAGCGAGAGAGAAAAAAGAAAGAAAAGGAAAAAAAATAGAACAGAAATAGAAAAAGAAAGAGAAGGAGAGAAATTGAGAGGAAGACAGTGAAAGAGAGAGAGATAAAACGAAAAGAAAGAGAGGAAAAGAGTAAGAAAAAAGAAAAAAAGACAGAGAGAGATAAAAAGGAGAATAAAAAAGAAAAGGCAGAGAGAGAGAGAGCTAAAAAGAAGAAGAAAAAAAGGGAAAGAGAGAGAGGGGTTAAAAAGTAGAAGAAAAAAAAAGAGAGATATAAAAGAAGAAGAAAATAAAAAGAGAGAGAGAGAAAGATGTTTAAAAAACAAACTCTTAAGGTAATACTAACGACCCACTAAATTTTATTTAATTGTTTTTTATTATTATAATAAAAAAAAAAAAAAAACTTTTTTCTACTTCAAGAGCTAATTAAAAGAGTTAAAAAAAAGAAAAAAAACTTTCTTTTCTTCTTCCACGACAAAAAAAAAAAAAAATTATTTCGAACTCCAAATTTTATTTAAAAAAAAAAAAATTTTTACGAGAGAAAATTTTCGGATCCAACATGAATTAAACGTTAATTTCCGGTTTTACTGTTAAAAAAAAAAAAAAGTGTTGCCAACTTTTGACCGAAGAACAAAAAAAAAAAAAAAAGAAAAATTTAAATTATTCCCTTTCAAAGTATTTAATTACAACAATTAACGCGGTAAATTTAAAATTTTTTTTTTTTTTTAAATAATTTCTAAAATTCAAAATGGCTGACGAAAAAAAAGAAAAAAAAAAAAAGAAACTTCGAGAGAAAAAAAAAGTTGACAGTTTGAAAACTGAAATAAATAATAATAATAATAATAATAATAATAAATTTTTTTTTATTTTTATTTTAGTTCTTCGGTTAAAAGAACAAAAAAAAAAAAAAAAAACTAACCGGAAATAAAAGTTAAAACCGGCGGTGAAAAAAAAAGAAAAACATATACGCGAAATAACGTACTCGTTTCCGGTTTTTCATTTTAAACGGAAATAAGTCGGTAAATTTTTTTTTTTTTTGTTTTTGTTGGTTGATTGCGTTCGGCCATTGTTTTGGTTTTTGTTTTTAATTTTGTTTATATTGTTTTTGTTTGTATTGCTGTTGTTGTTGTAGTTGTTATTGTTGTTTTTGTTTGTGTAACTGTTGTTGTTGTTGTTTTTGATTGTATTTTGGTTGCTGTTGTTATTTTTTTTGTTTGTATTGCTTTTGTTTTTTTTGTTTATATTGTTGTTGTTGTGGTTGTTGTTTTTGTTTGCTGTTGTTTTTTTGTTTATATTATTTTTGTTATTCTCTTTGTT